AAATTTGTATTAAGATTTTGAAGATCTTTTTTAAAATTTTAAAGGCAGATATTAAGCTCTCTTTGGCTTTTTATCCTCAAATTGATAGAAAAATAAAATGAATAAATCAAATTTTGGAGTAATATTTAACATGTACTATCAACTATAATTAAGATGATTGAATAACTCTTTTGCTATAGATAAAATTTATATAAAATAACTTGATACATAATAATATTTAATAAACATCTTTCTTTACTAATTATAATTATCATCCATGATTTGATACTTTTGATTTTTCAAAAGTTGACAATCTTGCAACAAAAGATTTGATAAATTATTTGTCAAAAGTACATGCAACAATGAAGGTACAATTAAAAGAAGCTCAAGGATGAAAAAATATTAATGCAAATATCTATCATAAGGAACAACTTCAATTCAATATGGATGAGAAGATATGGTTACTTCATTGCAATATCAAGACTATTTGTCCTTGTGATAAGTTTGACTATTGTAGGCTTAGACCTTTTCTTATTTGTAAATAAGTCAATTGTGTTGTTTATCCATTATATCTATGAAGATCCATTCTATATTCCACACATCTTTTTTTGAACCATATAAGATAATGAATATCTTTAAAAGAAGATAAATGCTACTTCCTCCTATAGAAGTGGATAATAAAAAAAAATTGAATTTGAAGAAGCCTTAGATTCAAAGCAGCGTCAAAATAGGTTGAAATATCTTGTTCATTGGCATGGATATAATATTAGTGAATGTATATGGGAGCCAACAAAGAATCTTACAAATGTAGCAAAAAAGATTGAAGCTTTTATAAATAACATCCATTAAAATCAAGATGAAGAAAAGCAAGATCTATAAAAGATGATGACTGTTGCTCGTGAAACTTGTCTCTAGAAAAGAGGATAATATCACAAACATATATATTTATTTTAATAATTATTTATATGATTATATAGAGATAGGTAAAAATAAATTAATTTCATAACATCTTCTAAAAAAGTTTCTTAAAAGCTTTACAGACATGATTTTGACTTTATACATATTTGAAGTTAATTAATAGGTTAGTAATTTCTTTAATAAGTTAACCACATGTCACATATGTTGGTAGCTTGTAGAATAAGTTAACTATATAGTGTACATATAAAAAACTTCTTTTGTAAGTTAAGATACGTGTCTTGCAAAGTCAATATGTATTGGAGATTTTATAGAATATTGTCATACAACTCCTAGTTAGATAGTATATATGAAGGCAAAAATGAAGCTTTCTTCAATCTTATCAATGTTTAGTCTTTAGTCTTATTTCAAGACTTTGTAATCTTATTGTCTTTGAAAATAGCCATTTTGATTAATACTATATCATCTTTGAGTGATTTTTTAGTCTTTTTGAGTGATACAAGAGTATATTGATATTTTGGTTCTTTGAGGTTCATGTCCTTGATACCACCTTCAAAATCTTAAAAAGAATTCTTTAAAATCTTGATATAAATTACATCTCCCTATCAAATATAATATTCTTTGATAATCTATGATAGTGATAGACATTATCAAAAAAACTTACATATTTTTTTAGGTATAATAGATTTTGTATATGGTAAAAAATATGCCATCTTAATGAATCAATCTACTATTTGAAAATATAATCAAAAGAACATGAGACTAATAGATCCATGATAAATTCGATAGAAATAGAAGACCATAGTTGTTTTGAAATAGATAATGGCTAAAGAAGTCTATAAGGTTGATAAAGAGGAGTTTTTTTTATCTTGAATAAATATTACATGATTGTACAAAGTCTTTAATTGACTTTCATATTTGAAGCCACCAAAATCTTTAAATATTTATTCAAAAGTCTTATTGTATTAAAAATGTTCAACTATTAGAAAGTCATGACAAGTTTGAAGGATATATAATTGTATCTTGCATTCTAAAATCTTGTAATTAATCTTAGTTGCTACAAAATTTTCTAGAATAAAAAGCTATTAGATGGAGCTTATTATTTGTTTCTATTTATAATAGCACCACATCCATAGCAAAGTCTAATGGATCTATTTTGATAAAGAATACCTTGAAAAAGTTAACATGATATAAGATTGGTGCAAAAATAAATGATGCCTTTAAGGCTTCAAAAAATAATTTAGCTTCTTTGTTTTACTCAAATTTGCCTTTAAATGTCAAACATATAAAAAAAATATAACTAAAAAAAAAATGATAAAGATTCAATAGTAATTGACAAATCTCAAAAAATATTGCATATTTTTTTTATTATTTTTGAAATCTTCCAACTCATAATAATCTAGATCTTCTTAGGATCTATTATAAGGCCATTATCTGAAATTATATTTTTGAAGAAGTCAACTTGAGTAATGTGAAATATATACTTTCTCATCTTGGCATATAATCTTGCATTTCTTAATTTTTGTAATATACAAAAAACATAAAGTTCATGCTCTTTTATGTTTATAGAATAGATTATAATGTTGTTCAAATAAAAAATGACAAAGTCATCAAGAAATTCACAAAAGACATCATTTATTAGATGTTGAAAAGCAACTAGTGCATTTATGAATCCAAAAAGTATGACATTATATTTAAAATATCCATACTTCATTTAAAACATAATTTTTCATTCATCTCCTATTTTAATGCATATCAAGTTGTATATTCTTTGTAGATCTATTTTGATATAGATCTTTTCTTGATTGAGTTGATCAAAAAGTATTGAAATCAAAGATAAGAGATATCTATTCTTGATTATATATTCTTGACTATATATTCTTGACAATGATCTTATTGAATCCTTGATAGTCTATATACATCTATAGATATTTGTTTTTTTCTTCATAAATAAGATAGGAGTCCTTGCTAGAGATTTAGAATAACATATGAAATTCTTAGATAAGTTTTTATCAATGTACTCTTTGAATGTAGCCAACTTGTTTTGTAATAGGTTATAGATTGGTTTTAATGGTCATTGAGCTCTTTCTTGAAGATTCATCAAAATAATTTTCAATAAAAGTACAACTTCAAGGATTGCACCTTTTTGATAGAGTATGATGTTTGGACACCTCACACTTGATTAGTTGTAATTATTATTTTTTAATAAGAAAAAAAGAGGGAGATAAGCTATGGTGTTGCAAAGACTAACTGATTGTCTAGTGTAACTCTTCTTCTTTCATTGCTTTGAAGCTTCAGTTGGTCAAGGGATAGGTGTGGGAGGTGATTTTTGAAGAGTGAAGGTGGGCAAATTCTCAAGCACACCATATTTGATATTTTTACTATTCAAAAAATTAATTTGAAAAAGATTTATAAAGACAAAAGGATTAAAGGATAAAATAATATGAAATCATAAATTATATATGAATAAGGATACATCAAAGTTTTTTAAGTAATAAATAAGTAATAAATAAAGTAAAAAATCTAATTTAAAATCAGAACTAATTTTTTTTTTGTAGAGGAGTATATATGAAGGATGTACATACAATAAAAGAAAAGTAACTACATAAATTTGTCTTGATTTTCAATTTTTACATAAATACTTGGAAAGAAATACTTGGAAAGAAATTTACTTTAAAATCTTAACTATAAATCTATTATTAAATATTTAATAAATCATTTAAAATATGAAAAATAAATATTTTCTAAAAATTTCTTTATTTTATACTAAATATGGTTTTATATTATTTTATTAAATAAATATAAATTTTTTAATATTTTATAATTAAATTTAGAAAAGTATAATTAAAATTTATAATTTCTTTAAAATTGTAAAGTTATCACAAATATAATTTATAGAAATATATAGGTGAATAGGTTTTTTTACTAATGAAAATATTATTTTCTGAGCTAAAAATATATAAGATAGTTAAATAGGATATTTTAATGTTTTAATAAACCAAAAAATTATATAATAATAACTTATTATTAATTTTGTAAGTTTAAGAAATATATTAGATCAAATCACATACATATTTTATTTTTAAAAGTAAAACTTGTACCTTTTCTATATTTTGGTTAGAAAATAAAATACATTTGTCTAAATAATTTGAAACTTATCTAATATAATCAAGGTAGAAAGTCAAGTTATATTTGTTTTAAGAATAAAATATGTGACATAATAGATATCAAGTTTAAATCAAATTATTTATTTTTAGATTAAGATTATATTTTTAGAATACATATTAGAATAATAATTTTAGTTCAATTGTATCTGAATATCAAATTGTTTATTTAATGTTGGACATTGCATGTAAGTATATATTGCTGTTAAATATACTTTTCTGTCTCATATGTTTTAACAAACTTTGACTTTTAACTTAGCAATATTATAATCATACTACCGATAAATTTATATTATATAGATAATTTAGTTATGTATAATGCAAACCTAACTGTTAGAAAAATTCTAGAATACTTTTTTTCATCTTTTAATCACAGTGAGAGAAAAAAAAAAAAAAAAAAAAAAAAAAAAATCAATATTAAAAATTTTAATTTTAATTTATGTAAATAAATATATTTAGTATGCTATACATACTAACAATTGGATCTAAAAATATTTAATTTTGTTGAATAAGTAATATGTTTATTATTTTTTTGTTATGTAAAGTAACCCCTAAACATAATGTTGATTCAACTTTTAACAATAAAAAATCATCTTGTAAATCCTGAATTGATTTTGGATAAAGGACATGCATATACATATATATAGTACAAGATTGGTACACTTACAAGGTTCTTTAATTTGCAATAATGCACAGAAGATAGACAAAGAAGTAATTTGATAAGAAAATGTACAATTTGGTTGATATTGTGAGTTGAGATGGTTGATGCTAAAAGATTATCAAACAAAAATTAGTACAATAGAGTCCTTATTTGTGTGTTAGGAAAGAATTTTTACATTGTAAGACAACATTACTACATTACTTGAAGAAATCTTACAGAATTATAAGCAATTCTAGCTAGTTCGAAGCACTCTCATACACACTCCTCTTACTCATCAAAACTAAGTGACAATGTATCATCAACATCTTTTGCAAATCTATCATCTTGATTTCTCAAGCATTCTGTAACATCCATTGCTTCACATCACTTCAGTGGTTTAGAAAGTACCCAACTGACTTTACACTAAAAGAACTAAGAAAGTTTGATACAACCTGATTTTCGAAGGTTAACGAGCCGTAAACAGTTCCTAAAGTATTTATACTGTCCACAGCAGCCAAGCTTCAGCTTTCGTCGCATTCTTCAGAGAATGGATTCAAGTTGTGAAGATTGACAGCGAGTACTAACTGCAAGTATAAAAATGGCATCCAATTGTTCATTAAGTTGTGCATCCGAAAGCTTCCGACGCGAATCACTAGGACGGTACATCGTTCAAGCTACAATGTTTCGTGCACAACTGATCGTTTCTCCGAGGTAGCGTCTTCTGCTGCAAGATGATGTTCCTACCAAGGCAGCTCTCGATTCTGTCGTAGTTAACCAGGTCCAGAGAATGAAGCATTCGTAACAGGTCGTGCGACGAGCCATCAGCGCGCCTTCGCAGTGCCATTGATTGTCATCGGTTGTGGAGAATGACACATTTGCTAGACAAGATGAGCTACAAGTGAGAGGCTTAATCTCAGACCCTCGGCGCATTCGAGCATTGCTGACCGTCAGGTGCTGCTCAGAGATACGAGCCTGTGGAGTTAATAGTGTGCGTTTCGGCGAATATGATGATTCGTTACAGGTAAACATCAAGAGGAGGGCCACTAGCCGAAGGGAAATTTCTCTGGGAGTTCGATTGCGAATGCGCAGGCTTGGGTTTCGACCATTTCTGAACCTGTGTTGATCGATTCCGAGCTGTGCCTCTCGAGCCGGAGGACTGTGTATCAGTGTGGATTGAATGTGTATTCGCCGGCATCGGTTTGCTAATCACTGACTACGAGATGAGAGAAGAAACGATGAATGATTGTTGCATCAATATGAGATGACCTAGCCAGTTTAACTAGGAGATGGACTTGTGCCGAACATGGTGAGGCTTCACGGCGTGGCTCGACACTGGGCGCGGCATGGAATCAATCCGCCCCACGTACCGCCCTGCCTCAGATTCAAACCTGAGTGCTTCCCGCGGCGGACAATGCTTCAGGGAAGCTCTTTCCAAGGACTCCACGATAGGTGCACTGATCACCGGGTCCTTGCATTTCACGCCCCACTTGGACTTGCCGAAGCTCGGGAACCTCAGCTTCTGCAGCGTCTTGGCGAACAGCCCCCCGGTCCGATTCATGGGCTTCATCTGCGCCAGGCACCCCATGGGTCCACAATTCCCCATGCCAGATTCCACTCCCTCCACAGCCACCACGTTCGCATTTTGCGAACAATTTTTCACTGTCTCCACAGTGATCCCCGCTCGTAACTGATGAGCTGTGGAACTCATCGACGTCGAAGCCTTTGTTTGCAGATGAGCTGGATCATAGCTCTGATGCTCCGGCACGTTCTGAGATAGCACCTTGCGCATTCTGCTGAGCTCAGCTTCTAAGTTCCGTAATCTGCTCTCCGTAACCTGGTAGTCTACCTTAGGAGGGACAACTGGCGCCGCACGCGCGCTGTTACTCATTTCCTTCACGGCGATTTTCTGCGAAGCGGCGTACATGAGATCGTCAATGTAGAGATCGTTGTCGCGGAAGGAGGATCCCGCCGATCGGAAGGACTCTTGGGGATATTCACATGCGTGGTGGCTAGATGAGTTCCCGGCGGAGGGGTAGAAGAAGGACGACGTGGTGTCAGGGAGGATGGACCGGGTAAAGCTGTGGGGTTCGGTCCGGAAAGACTGCGAAGCGGATTCGATATGGGAGGCGAGCACTGACCCCGTCTGGAGCTGCTGCATGAACATGGCTTGCACAATCAGCCGCAACGGCATCAAGTCGTTCTGGACGGCGTGGGTACACGCCTCCAGCGAGAGTTTCTGGCAATTTAGAGTTCGGCACACGACCATGCGCTCCTCTTGCGTGCAGTTCGGATGCGCCTGCGCAAACTTAGCCAGATGAGAATTAATGTATCCAAAATAATCGGCGTAGTCTGATAAAAATAGTTATGATCAATGAATTGTAGGAAATTACCTTGAGGTATGCATGGATGGCGCGGTAGACATGATCGTGCATCACGCGCATGTACGCGGGAATTCGCTCAATGAGCTCTGCGAATCGGGAAGGCGCAATGTTCGAATCGAACGCGATCTCAGAAAGGTAATCATCCCAGAGCTTTCCAATTGCCGTGAGCATGCTCATGTCAGCCAGCCTCGCGTCATCATATCCTCGAAACCGCGTCAAAAACAGCTTCAGGATTCGCTCCATGGAATCAACCTCGTTCATAAAAACACATCCATTCTCCTTCTCTTTCTTAGTCGGTAGGAGAAGATCTTGCAACGTAGCGTGCTCGAATTGTAGCGCAATTCGTGTTTCGAGCTGGATTCTACACACAAGTTTTGACACACACTCAGTATCAGTCGTGTTCACCAATATAGATGCTTATATATATATATATATATATGAAAAAGATGGCTTCACGATAACAATACCCTACCTGCAGTCATCGTGCAAGGCGCAGCTGAGTCCTCGCCGTAGCAGACAAAAGAGAAAGCCAGTGGGGACGACGTAATGTTCCAACGGCAGTACACGTACCACAGCCTCAATCAACACAGAAATTTCCGGCTTCACTTGTGGTTCAAGCACCCAGCATTTGTCATTCCCCCTCTGCACCAGCACCGTGTCCACCCCGGAGTCAAAGATCCACCGATCAGCAAACGCTGTGATCACCTGACCCACGTTACTCTCCTGCATACCTTCTCTGCGAAGTGCGAGCACCAATTTCACGAACAAATTGGGCGGAAGGGCTACAAGGTCTTGGATGCACCAATGGAGATGCGAGCATTCTCGTGAGTTCGTGGACCAGCAATGAAGATCCCTGTTTTTGATAGGTGCGACTTTCCTAGCAACTGGATCAAGAATCTCCAGGCCAGCCATGAATGCTATGGCATCGAGGCATCGCCGAAAAATACCCATCTTCTCCGCATGTGGAGCCAGATTTTCGCAATGAAGAAGAACAACGAGCGAGTCCTCCCAGCTCTGCAAGGCGACTTGGTTTAAGTAAAGCTCACTACGCTCGCAAAGGTTGGCCCGGCCATAATCTTCGGTCATTTGCAGATACTCGGCCACGCAACAAATCTCAGCGATGTTAGAAGGCTCCATAAGAATGGAGGAACCGTAGCAGAAATTGAGCGCTAGTTCAAAGACGTCTGGTCCGCCCGGAACATCGTCCGGGATGGTAACATCCTTCGCGTCCTTCAGTACTCGCTTAAAATAGCCGCTGCGAGATACGAGCGGAAACTTGTGGAGGTGGTAGACGCGGCCTGCGCAGCGCATGGTGATGGTGGTGGGCAATCCCGTGGCATCGCACCACGACTGTACGCTGCGTTGCAACGTGGGAGATATGTTGCGCGAGAGGGCTGATGGCTCGAAGGAGTAGACCTCGGTGGGAGGTTTCGCGCTGTGAGAAGGTTTCAAGTAGAGAACAACGTCATCCTCGGCGAGCTCGTCAGCGGAATCGATAAATGTCTCCGAGTAGCTCTCCTCGCGCCGGAGTAGGCGCCCCTTCACGTTCTTCACCACTATCCCCTTGCAGGATCCCTCCATGGACAGAGGAGTTGGAAATGCGACTGTCATCGTTTCCTCTTCTTTCTCGGAATTTCCTCACAGCTTCGCCGCCCAAGCAGCTTTTTCAGCGAGTTCTACAGAATTCTGCAACTTTGAGCTATGAGTACTCTTGTAATGGTGCGGATCGTGAGATTACAATCCCCTGTGGAATACACATCTGGTAATTGAGGTGCAATAGCCAGCATCTCCAGCACACCCGCCAAGACAACGTGGGAGGTCATTGTGTACACAGTGACTAAAGATCAACAAAAAGAGCTCTGGCTTCACACTTACTTACTCACCGATTGCTCACACTTAATGAATTCAATTTCAAATGAACACGGAAACTCGACCTAAAACCTAACCACCCGCGAACGACATCCAGCTCTGACACCTCTCAAACGTTCCTTCACCTCCGGAGCTTACACCAAAAAAACTCCCAAACAAGCTGAGAAGCTGCTATCCTGAGCTTTGAAGGAGAATCTAAGTCCAGAGAACCAGCTTTAAGATCCTTCAGATTCCCTACTTCAAACACTCCGTCACGAGTCACTAATAACGAATTCAGGCTCTTCGCGTAAACAATCAACACAAATTTCCGACGAGTCACGAAACAGCTACTGAACAGAGACCCTAACCCTGTGGACTTTTACGTACACACAAACACACCAATTGAACCCTCTAAAAATCCTAACTCACCACTCGCAAGTTCCCACCTTCACAACAGCAACAACAACGAAAACATCGTCACCCTCAGCAGCCCAAACAGCGTTCTGATTTTAAAAAATCCAACAAATCCAGCGATCCGAGCTTGTGATAGGACCGGCGGTGCTGCAGGCACCATCAGCAAGGGAAGCTTTTCTTGCTATCGCGACAAGAAAGGGCGGCCGGCATACCCCACGTCTCACACGGATGGTTTGCCAAGTGGGGGTCTACAACGAACTCCCTGCAACATCTGTGCAAACATCACAACACTGGGCCATCCCAACAGTGCCTCACTCCCTCCTCAACTTTTTGCTCTGCAAAAGGCTTCGATCAGCCGGCCTGCAGGTCATCCACGGCAGCATCCCGAGGCGTGTCCACCACCAGGAAGGTTGGCAAGCATTCCACGTCAGAGCAGCATCCCACAGACTTGAATGCTGGTGGAAACATTCTGAGGCTCTTCCACGCTTCGAGACCTACTCAGTCCCTGTTTTCCATGGCATTTCCATGCTTTTGGTTACTTCCTTGATTGCGTGCTTTATTGTGTACCTGGCCCTAGTTTTTATTTTTGGCTTGGCTCTGATCTGATCTGGGGGTTGGGTCTACGCTGTTGCGTTAGTTGCGTGTTAAACCCCTCTGATAGGGTTTTAATACCCAGGTGGTGAATACCAGGGTATTAATCAATTAGATTAGTGACAGGGTTGGGAGTTGATGTTGATCAAAAGAAGGGCAACTATCATCAACATGAATTTTGAAAAAGCGATCCAAGAGTTATTGTTCTGGAGACTATGGTTTATGTGAATATAGTGCTCTGAGATGAAGGGTAGCATACATGACTTAAAACTGATTGTGATATTAAATGGATTTAAAGTTACAATCAGTGCTGCCTGTTGTAAACATTGATTTCTGGGTTCTTCTAGATGTTAAGTATTGAAATAGAGATTAAGTTGAAAGCATTATTTAGATTTTAATTCCTGACACTTTTTGACACGAGAAAATTATACTTGGTGATAGATTGTTACCAAATGCTAACAAAGAAAACAAGAAAAATGAATGACCTTGAAAGCACAGAATATGTAGTCACAGAAAATATATATATTATCTCACATGTAAATTCATCGTGTGCCTAAAAGAACTGAAGGCAAAGGTTGCTGATTGCTTGCTGTACTGAAATAATTTGGGTTTTTACTTTTATCTTTATTTTCACCTTTTCAATACAAAATCCTTAAAAAGCATTTGAATGCATGTGATGAAGGAGTTTTTTATATAATAATAATAATCCTGTAATGACCTGGAGTTTGCCAGCTTTGGTATCACATTAGCCTTTCAGTGAAACTTAAGAAAGCAAAACAATGCCACATCAGCAAAACAACCCTGGATGTGTTTATTTTTTCATGCAAAAGAAGTTTTGAGCATTCCTTGAAGACTTTCTGATAAAGGAAGGTGAACTATACCCAGCTAACCATAATTTTCTGGTACCAAGCCTTGCCTTTGATGCAATTCTCACAATCCAGGGGCAGGTACAATGAAAATTGGCAAAATCATCCCTTCTTTTGCCTTTTAATGCTTTTCTTCTTTGCTTTTACTGATTTACATGTTATTGTAATTTTTTTATATCTTGCCACAAGGTAATTCTGCCCAACACAGTCTGTAAGGGAGAATTAAATCATCCTTTCTGTGACAGAATTCTGCAGTTAATACATATCTGTCTGTCTATCTTTCCATGTGTGTGTATGTGCATATGTATATATATATATATATATATATGTGTGTGTGTGTGTGTAGGGTAGCCAGACATCATAGACAGTAGGGTAGCCAGACATCATAGACAGTCCCATATACATGAACATTTCCTTCTAAATATTTTCCCTTCATGTGGTGCCAGCTGAAGCAGTACTCAGGATCATAACATTATATGACCCAGTGCTGGTAAAAAGAGCCACACAGTGGAATGCCTTTCCTGTGTAAGCTACAGAATGGTTTTCCTCAGCAATTTCATGGAAGAAAAACCTTTTGACAGTGGGTTGGACCTTGTTGAGAATAGAACTCTTTAAGTAGTTGCTAATGGTCAATAGAGTACAAGTGTTGTTAAGGATATCCCATAAGGTAGGATGCTGGTCTATAGTACATTAGAGTACAAGGGGAGGGCTGGTCCTAGGAGATATCCCATATGGATTGTAGCACTTGGTACCTTGGTACTAGTATATAAGAAAAGGGTTGGCATGGGAAGAATTATCTCATACCACACTCTATTTGTTATAGTGCAACCTTGCTGGTCCTAACTTACTTGTGTGGAGTATGCTTTCTATGTTTCAATAGGTTATGGGCCCACATTCTCTTACCAAGTAAGTTGTTATTGCATTTTATTTTCTTTGTTGCTTGTTTGGTGGTTGAGATCTTATGGTATAGTATTACTAGTGTTTTGTTGAAGTCATTACTCCTGGATTTGTGAGTGTATGAGGTTAGTGCAAGACCTTGATAGTGTCTTTGCTGAAGTAACACTAGTATTTGAGAGTTTTATGAGAAATTGAGTCATTTTGAGTGAGGTGATGTGAGGGAGATGTTTGAAAGCCATAGAATTACATGTCATAGCATTTCCCACCATTTAGACGTGATTTGGACTCAAAGTATGCAAAAAGTTGCAAAACAGCGAATTCTGAGTTTGTAGTTCAGCAATCTTTGAGTAGTCATATCTTTTGCATTACAACTCCAAATCAAGAGATTTTTGGACCTACTTGTAGCTTGAGATGGCATCTTTTGAGAGTGATAGCTTGAGAATGGTAGAAAAGTTTAGAGGTGACAACTTTCACCACTGGAAGGCCAAAATGGAGCTACTTTTGGCGTCATTGGATCTTTGGGAGATAGTATGTGAGGAGGAAGAGGCACCTGGATTAGAGGCAAGCATGAAGGAGCAAAAGGACTTCAAAAGACGAGAGAAGAAGGCTTTTGGCATAATTGCCACCAACTTAGATGAAACCAACTTTGCTCATGTCATTTCTTGCAAAGGAGCAGCAGATGCATGGAAGACTCTTTGCAATGTCTATGAGAGTAGGAATCTTTCCAATGTGCTATGGTCAAGGCAAAAGTTCTTCACCATGAAGATGGAAGAAGGTGAAGATCTCATGGCTCATGTAAATAAGGTAAAAGCACTTGCAAACCAACTTGTTGTTGTTGACAAGCCTTTACTTGAAGAAGATGTTGTGATGACATTGCTCTCAAGCCTTCCGGACTCCTATTCCTCCCTCATTGTGGCATTGGAGTCCATTTCAAAGAAAGACCTCGCTTTGGACTATGTCACGACAAGACTAGCCCATGAAGTGACCAAAAGAAAGCAAAAGGAGTCTATTGGGGAGCAATCAGCACTATTTACAAGACCAACTAAGGCAAGTGCCCCTTTTCAACGTTATCCTCCTAAAACTTGTTACATTTGTGGAAAACCAGGCCATTTTGCTAGAAATTGTTTCAAGGCAAAGAGAGGAGAAAGAGAGAATGCCAACAATGTTTTTCATGATCATGGAGGTGAAGACTTTGCATTCATGGCAAAACAAAGTCCTTCCATTTTTGATATGAGCAAATGGATTGTGGATTCCGGATGTACCAAACACATGACTCCATACAAGTGTTCATTTAACACTTATCAACCAATTCAAGCAACCAACGTTTGGTTAGGTGATAATTGTATGGTACAAGCCATTGGAATAGGCACCATTGTAGTGGAGGTGGTGGTGAAGGGCATAAGCAAGAGAATCACTCTCAAGGATGTGTTGCATGTGCCAAAGATGAAGAAGAACCTCCTTTCGGTGAGTAAACTTATAACTCATGGGTACAAAGTGCAATTTAACATGAATGGATGTTTTGTGAGAACCATGGAAGGCAAAGAAGTAGCAAAAGGGACTAGGAATGGCAATCTCTATATTATCAATTACAAGAGGATCAATGGAGTGGAGGTTGCTGCCTTTGCTGAATTTCCATCAAATGAAGAGAAGATGGGCATTTGGCATCAAAGACTTGGGCATTTGAATGCCAAAAGCATGAAAGGGCTTCAATCCAAGGTAAATGGCATAGACCTTGGCCATTCTACGATGAATCTTGCTTGTGAGGGATGCATTCAAGGCAAACAATATAGGACACCATTTCCTAGAGGAGTTGGAACAAGAGCAAACCAATTGCTGGAGCTTGTGCATTCGGATGTTTGTGGATCCATGAGGACACCATCTATGAGTGGTAGTGAAAAGTGGGAGATGTGTCCAAGTGGGAGTAGTGGTGTGTTTGTGGACACATCTTCAATTCTAGCAAACAAACAAGAAGATGAAGAAGAGCATTCTCAAAGTGAAGAAGAAGAGGAAGATGCCATGATAGAAGAGCCCAATACTATGAAGACTTCAATTCCAGCAAGATACAACAAGGACAATGAAGAGAATGAAGATGAAGAATACCAACAAATGAGTAAGAGAAAGCACTCCATGAGTCATACAAGGCAGCAAGAGGTGCAAGAAGGCTCATCTTCTTTGCATGAAAGAAGATATCCAACATGCGAGAGAAGACCACAAGGTGAATGGTGAAAGAACCACATCTTTCCACAACAATTGGATGTAAGTGGGTGCTTAGAACTAAGAGAGATGCAAACGATTGAAGGTCAACAATGGGCTATGTATTCTTTGTTTGAGTGAGAGCCATATCTTTGAATAGCAATAGACAACCAAACATTGCAAGGTCGACAATAGGGGCGGAGTATTTGGCAGCAAGTCATGAAGCAATGGAGGCAATTTGGTTGACGTTGTTATTGGAAGATATTGGACTTGTGCAATTTGAAGCTACTCCATTGAGGTGTGACAATCAAGGATGTCTTGCTTTTGGAAAGAATCCAAAGCATCATGCAAGAACTAAGTACATTGATATTCAGCATCATTTCATAAGAGAGAAGATAGAGATGGAGGTTATTGATATGATGTATTGTGAAACCAAAGACATGATGGCTGATTTGTTGACAAAAGCCTTAGTTAGAGAAGGACACAACAAGTTGAGTAAGGCATTAGGATTGATAGCTAATTGACCAATAGCAAAGTGGGAGTGTTGAGAATAGAACTCTTTAAGTAGTTGCTAATGGTCAATAGAGTACAAGTGTTGTTAAGGATATCCCATAAGATAGGGTGTTGGTCTATAGTACATTAGAGTACAAGGCGAGGGCTGGTCCTAGGAGATATCCCATATGGATTGTAGCACTTGGTACCTTGGTACTAGTATATAAGAAAAGGGTTGGCATGGGAAGAATTATCTCATACCACACTCTATTTGTTATAGTGCAACCTTGCTGGTCCTAACTTACTTGTGTGGAGTATGCTTTCTATGTTTCAATAGACCTGGCAACATTGTATTCTCACATCTTAACCTCTACATAACAAAACCAACATACAGAGTTGGCTATGTCCCTGGTTTATGGATTTCTTGATTTTTCCTTTCTTACTTTCTTTTCAACACAAATGGGGTTCATGGATTTCTACAGTGGGGGGGGGGGAGGGGGCAGCTATTGAACAAGATAGCTAGGTAGATACCCAACATGCCTTCCAAAAAGAAGGGTATCAAAAGGCAGTGAAAGAGGGTTAAATCTGTTCATAGTAGTCATGGAAGAGGTTTATTATAATTCTTGAGGTCTGAGCTGAGAGGTCTGTAAAGCATCATGCTTACAACAGGTAATTAGAAACATGTTCCTGCTAAACAACTTGTTTATGATTAAAATTCAGTCAAAGATTTAGGATCCAAGTGGCATTTGCTATTGGCAGGATGATTGTATGGGACATGCTTGGATGGCACACCACAAAAGTGAAAGTGAATGAAGCATAATTATAACAACTGGGACAAGATCAAATTTTGCTTGTCTCTCCTTTTGTGAGACCTTGCATCCTACCCAGTGTGTACTTGACAACTGGACAGAGCTGCGGGCCGGCCAAAAAGTTTTTCCCCCTTTCTTACCTTCTTCATTCAACTCTGCTTGTCAAACACTCCAAATCCCAGCCCCTGTTCCAAAAAAAATTGGTTGCTCAAACCTTTGACAAAGTTGGGTTCACTCCCAACTTGACTAATGGCATCTGTGAAGAGCTGGTACAAGTGTACAGGAGGTAATGATGTGCTTAAATTGTAACACATCTAATGCCACGTAGAAATTTCTTAGTCGACGTGGTGCCTAGTGTGCTTGGTTGCTTGTTAAAAAAAGCTTCATCTGAGTAAAGGCTGAGTCTGAACCAAGGCATTCAAGGCTCCAGGTCAATAAGTCTGGGCTCTGCTTCTTCTGCTCCCACAACACAAGCACTGGCAAAGCTTCGACAGAATCTTCTGAGTAGTTGGTAAAAGGCTGTTAATGGAAAGAGTTAAATGAGAACATGTGAGACAGAAAACAGTAAAAATGAAACGAAGAAATTAATCTCCAAGTACAAAAATGAATTCGAAAGTAGCGAATGCTGAAGAAGACCCTGTACAGATTGACAGAAAGGCGTACCCTGGCAATTAAGAGTTGCAGCATTACTCAATTTTCTGGAACTTTCCACTTAATACAAGCGGCTGGAAGTGCTGCAGTTGTATGAATTATTACTTACCGTGGAGTTATCACAGGAGAGCCTGCGTCGATCAGTAATGGTCGATGACGTCCTTTGGAACGTTGGCAATCTTTCTTTTTATGGTGCCAATAATGCGACGTACTCTGATTGTTAATGTCTGTTAAGCCACCTCCTTTCTAGTTATGAAGAATTTGACCTTCTATCCCAGTATCTGGATCTTTGATCTGTTCAAACCCTGTTTCTGCATTTGTATGTTTGTTGCTATTATTATCGTCATCCAATGTGGAGGAGATCACGCCGGTATAATTTGGGTAGTGTGAGAGTTATTTCAGCTTCTACTATGTGTATATGGGCCGGAGATTCGAGGTGGTGACATGAAGTTCAGACATAGCTTGTGTTTCCATCGTATTTTCAATTAATACTCTTGTTATTATTTGCCTCTGGTTTGAGATCATAACGCGTCTCAATTTCTCGAGCCAGAGCACCAGGAAGCTGGTGGCGACGCAATACCACTCACTTGCCACTCCACATCCAAACCGTCTTTCCTTACCAAACGCCCTGTCTTGTTTAGATATGGTGCACCTACATGGTAAATCAAGCACAATCTTGGGCACGTCATCTGATCTTCGCTACTGCCACAAAACCTTGTGGCAGTGGTTGATCTTCCGTTATACAGGACATTGCTGATTGTAAAGGGTGAACAATCGTGCGATTCTCCCATCTTTTGCCCCATTCAGTGATTCCTCAAAAGCCTGTTAATTTGCGTACTGCTGGGTAGGAGCTGCAAGATGGGTACATCACCTAGGGATTTTGACAAACAACTTGATGCAGTTAAGAGGTAGCTACCACAGACATCAAGAGAAGAGCGGAGTGGAAACTGGGTTGTTAATTTGCCGATTGCCAGCGAAACACGACTAGGTCGGATTAGATAATCAGTCTTGCGGATTGATTGTTTCTCATTCATAAATCTGAGAAGGAGATTCTATATGTCTGGTGCTTTTCAGAGTATCTACTGCACTCGATCTACAAAACAGGCTAGTCAAGGTGATGGGGCCCGCATAACAGCTTCAACTTCGGCAATGTCACCGGGTGTCAACTTCGTCTGCTTCATGGTCCACCTCACCTACACAGCTGAAATTCGCTAGGGGTGTTAAATTCCGACCTTACGAGCAAATCCAAGGGACGAGAACTAGTTTACTAGCACTCACTTAACAGCGTGGAATAAATCGGTTGAGAAAATAAGTACGGGTATGTACGAGGCCGACCTTCAGTTTGTGGTCATTATTTTAAAGAACCTAGTAGAGCTGGCTCAAGATCCTCCTCTAACTGAAGAGAAGATGGTGGCATACTAGCGTACGCTCTCAGAAATTCCGCGTTGTGACACTGCCACGAGATCAACCAGAAACATGTCAACAGATAATAGTTACTAGAAAATGGAATCAACGCAGTACACGGAGACCGCCAAATCGATCATTTGCTCATTCGGGTTTTGATCTGGTATTTAGGACCAATTTCATTTCCACAAGCACTGGCCAAAACTCCAACCTGCATGCCAAGATGCCGCATGTATGGGAAAACTGGATTTAAGGTTTCTTTTCTGCACACAAGCAAAGAGAAGTGTAAATCTCTTGTGCAACTTTTGCAGAGTGAGATGAGGCTAAGTCCGAAATATAAAGCCATTGCAGCACACAGATGTGAGACTTACTTGTTGGAAGGTATGAGGGCACGTGAAAAGTACAGGGCGAAGCCCTTTTTGTCCACAATATTTTTTATCCAATTACAGGCACTGGCATCACATTGATATACTTGAACGTTCACAACAATGTCATACTCAGCGGCGAGTTTCTCAAGGGCCTCATTGCATCGCTCTGTCCCTGCGATAAAGCACAAAATCCATCCACAACATGCGCCAATGAGAAACATGAGAGCACCCATTCAGGAACCCGTTTTGCTGAAACGAAAAATGGTGATCCAACACAAGGAGTAAACTCATCCTGAAGATATTAACCCATCTGTTGAATCCCTCTAGTAGATACTCAGTAATACTGCAAATTATGATTTCAAGCTTAACCTAAACTATGCGAGGTGAAGAGTAAGCGCACCGCTCAAGCAATTCTCCGAGGTCATGACGTCGGCGCCAAACGCACGATAAAAATCAGCAATTCTACCGTCATCAATGGCCACCACTGCACCCCAGAAAGTGGAGTACATTCAATCATCATCCATGCAACATTCGATTGCTAGTATCCAAATGCAGATCTGCAACTAATTCAGTATTCAAATCCATTCTAATGAAGAATTATGATGGCAAAGACCCAGCCAAGTCCTTTTCATAATCAAACCCTTTCTCGATCCTTTTAGAGTGCGAGATTTAGGGTTTTTTTCAATATAATAAGAATCCTTAAAGTCAAGGACTCTGGCAATGGCTTCAGATAATCAGAACTAACCGACAGCTTTTAGTGAAGTAAACTGCTTCGCTTGCTCCCACGTCCTCTACACAGCTCAACCCCGTTACTCTAATTCAGTCCAAAACTAGTTCAGTGTTATTACAAAACTAAAGCTAGGCAGGATCAACAAGAAACCTAGCAAAATTCACCTCAACGAATGAAAGAGAAAGCAAAAGCAACTACAGTCACGCAGCAAATTCATTCAAAGGGTGTGCAGGATCAGTCAAATAAGGTTTAGGACAATAAGGAACCTGAATCATGGGTATGTCTGAAATGTGCACAAGAGGTTCGCCTTCGAAGCGAGGTGACTTGTAGCGCGCAGGGATGATGCCCACCACGCGAGGCCGGGACTTGGGCCTCACCTGGAACCAGTAAGGGTTTGCGGCTGCTGCTGCAATGGTGATGGCGCCCACGGCCACTGCCGCGTGCACTAGCAGAAGTGCCGACGAGGAGCTGCCCCCGTGAACACCCATCAAGCTCTTGCCGCTCGTTGGAATGCCTGGTATTCCCTGCAAGCCATCAACCCATCCATCCAGCCATCCCCACACGCACGCAACCTCAATCCTCCAACACAACACATCCACACCGCAGCGACACGAATCTCCCCATCCTCTGCCAACCCAACCCAACTCAACAAATTGCCAAAATTCTGCAACAATCACGAGCACGGTTTCCAATCACCTGTAGTGCCAGAGCGGGAGACTGCGAAAACTCCAACGCGGCCCGTTGGAAGCCTCCGCAGCTCATCTCCATGTTGAAGCTCGCCAAGCCATCATCCCAGCTCCAATTCCAGCCACCAGGGACGGCGATCGCTTGGACTAATTGGGATCCGCATCGGAACCTATATCGCGAAGGCAAGCAGGCAAGCAAGCTCTGATCAGACAGTCTCTGTGTGGGTCTCTCAGAATCTATGTCTGTGCGCTGCCTCGGTGACTGTGTCCGCCAGTCTACCGAACCTTGTTGCCTTTCCCGAGGTCCCGTTCGTCCGTCTAGTCTTCTGTTCGCTCGCCTGCCCACTTTCGTCCAATAGATATACTTCGTTCGCCGACTTATGTTCGTCTATCATTCGTCCACTTTCGTTCGTTCGTTCGTTCGTTCGTTCGTTCGTTTCTCGTTCGTCCTCTCTTCCTTCGTGGTAAGGGTTAGGGGGGAGTGTGTGGGAGACTTGTTGGGCCACAAGGTGGACACACTGTGTTGTTGCCCTTTTGTTAATGCTAATTGTCAAACTGCCTAACAATTGTCAAACAAACAATGGAATTGTGCGTTTGTCATTTCAACACTGTCTCATTTGATTTGATTGGAGCAATGAGATTGGGTTCAATATCCTCATGTCTGTCACTACTGTGTAAACTAGGAACATTTGTTTTGTTATGTTTTATTGGATTTTCTTTTGAGGGTATTTTAACGACCATGCTAGCCAAAAACAAACTTTGGAAATTTTATTAACATAATTTTGGGTATGATTAATTAAACTGGGTAATTTCAAATTATGAAGGTTGTCAATTTGTTTTCTTTACATACTTACATACATACACACATTCAACTAACTTATTTATTTAATATAAAATAAAAATAAAAACTTAATTCTTGTTTGGAACCTATTAAGTAAACTTGATCCTACTTAAAAGAAAATAAAGAGAATAAACATGCTGATGTGCTGATGTAAAATCTGTTATTGGTGTAAACTTTTGTAACAATTCTGAAACCAAACCTAATTAAACAATATTTTGTGAAACGCATTAAAACAATTTATTGATGCACTAGATATTGGCAATAAACATAACAACAAATTAAAATTATATTAGATTCTATCAATTTATCTTAACATTCCTATTAAGTATTTAAAACCAAAATGCACATAGTTTTATTTTTAAATTATGTAGCTGTAATTTAACGTGATGTTTATTTAGAGTTCATCCTATTTGTTTTACAATTTATAAGTATTGAACTGTAAATCTGTACTTTAATTGAAGGTGTCACGTTCTAGTAAAAAATCATTCCACACATTCAAAATCATTACCAAAATTAAATTTTAGTAAATAAACTTAATATTAAAAAAATTACTAAATTTAATATTAGTAATAATTTTTGCGTCTTTGGTGTGTGTATGTATGTATGTATGTATGTATGTCAATTGCAATCCTGATAAATACATACAACTATTTAACAGATCATTTGTGGTATTTTTTGAAGCCAGCAAAAAAACAATCTAATTCCTTAAAGATGCTGAACGAATTATTTTTGAACACATATTAAGGATTTTTTTTTTTTCCAATTTAGCATAGATGAATGAAAAATGAATTTATATCAATAAGTATCAATATATTAATTTAAAATTTTACTTCATTTATGGAATAAATTCATACTTTAAAGATATGGTATTAACATCATTTGGCTAGAAAATGTAGTCTTGTAATCAAATTCGATTCTTGTCGTCCTCAAAAATTAAGTATTAAGTTTAAAAACAAATGTCAAATTAGCATTAGTGTCATCTTTTACATCAATTTTTTTTGTTGACAATAAATTCTAACGTTACTTAGAAAATTAGATTTAAATAAATATTTTATGTATAATAACATTAATTTTAAAACATGTAAAATAATAAATTATTATATTTGTGTGTGTATATATATATATATATATATATATATGCATAAACACACATAATTACACATGAAAACATTATATTGATTGAAAAATATATATGTATTATTACAACAATCTTTTATTTTTAAAAAACATATTTATTTCTTAAGTAAATAGAAATATATAGAAATAGAAGTAGGTAAAAACATACTAGATAGATAGTATCTTCTTTTAAAAAATTTAAGGCGCTTCTTAGATATAGATTAAATATTTATACTTTTATAAGTATGCCACATAACTATTAAATCTTACTCCACAAGTTTTATATTTATTAAAATTTGCATTAGAAACAACTTACTACCTAATGCTTGGGCCACAAGCTTTGCAATTCTACAAAACCTTCCAAAAGACCTTTTTGGTACCTCACATATATGAATGCAAGAGCAAGGCCATTCTCATTTTAGTAATACAGGAGTATATTGTCTTCTCAAAATTTTGTCTTAATTTATTTAATTATTAAAAAAATATTTTAAATCTATTCAATTTTTTAAATATAGAATATTTTGATAAATTTGAAACCTTAAAATTAAAATAGAAATAAAATAAAATAAAATCATGTTATAATATATCTATCATGACTTTGTAACTAAATATATAATAAAATTTTAATAAATTAAAGAACCACTTGATTGCATGATATTTTCACAAGCTGCTTTGAAAGTATACTCTTCTATGGTTGAGTTATTATTTTACGTGTTAAAATGTTATGAAAAAAAATAAAGAAGAATAAAAAATGAATGGTATTCATTCACAATTAACATAAATTAAAACATTCAAATTCAATGTGTGTTTTATTTTTTTAATATTAGAAAAAAATGATATCCAATTAATTACAATACAAGATATTTTTAGTCTTAATATCTTAGTAGAAAAATATTAGGACACATAAAATCTAAAAAGAAAAATTTGTATATTTATTTGCTAATTTATAGAACTTTGAATAATACATAAATATCTAATCTCTTTTAAACTATTTTAGAATTTCATACAATAATTACTTCATCTTTGTAACCTTTGATTCTATTAACCATAAAAAAATTATTTTATCTCCATGAAAATTAGATTTAAAAGGACTCAACTTTTTGATAATTTTTTATGTAAGTTGATTCACTCATTAAATTATTATAGTTAAAAAAAGTTGGAATGTAATAATGTCTAAATTATTTTAATACATAAAATATTGTTATTAATGATTTTTTTATTCTAATGACTTTATATGATCTATAAACAAATGTATCCTAACAATGATCAAATTGTGTTGAATTTTTTATTTTAAAAAGAATTTATTTTTTCTTTGTCTCAATTTTTTATATTTTTTTCCTATTGATTCTTGCTATAATTCTTACCAACAAGCAATAGTGACCAATTTATGGAGTAGAAAACTACCCAAGTTTTATATTTTCCAAACTTTGTTTGATTTCCAAAATATAGATATTTTTTATATTTAGAAAAAAACACAATCAACAATTGATTAACAATTTGCCTTGAGCTTGTCTCCTCCATGTATTTATTTTAGTATTTTTGTGTAATGTGAACCATATAAGTAAAGCTTCATACTTTATCCTATGTATTGAGTCAAAACATTTTGCCATTTTTAATTATAAATTAGAAGCAATATATTAGACTACTTTATAGTATCCAAACTCCAATATTTATTATTTTATTATTGTTATTTTTTTGTCTTCTTCTTTTTGCAATACAAATCACCTTCATTACTTGATTGCATTTTGTATGTTTTGGGATCAAATTGAAAGTCTTTCACTAGGCCAAAGAATGGTGTCATTTCTCTAGAGTTTTTGCTTATTAAGAGTACAAATATATGAGTAATTGTAAAGCAGTACATATTATCTTTACAAATTGAGTAAAAAAGAAAAAAGAAAAAGTAATTGTAAAGCAGAATATATTATATTTTATTCGTATATTCGTTTGACTTCATTGAAAGTTAATGTGTGCTCTTCCATTAAATTACAAGTATCATGCACTTGCTGCATTTTATTTTCATGCAAAACGATAATGTCAATTTATATATATATATATATACATATACATTCAAAGTCCAACCACACCAAGCTGTCTCCAGTAGTACGAAGCGGTCTCAATTATTTGTACCACAGTGTGCCAAACCTTGCTTATCTTACACCATTTTTTTGAACCTATTCTTCTTCTTCTTCTTTAAAAAAGAAAAAGAAAAAGAAAAAAGTAACCCATATAAAATTTGGTTATGGACTCACAACTTTGCAATTCACCTTCACTCGTCTATATCTAAGGAATTTATTGAACCTTAGGCCCACTGATTTAATTATTGGTTAAAGCCATAATCCGTGGACCTAGCAAAATACAGGTGACATCTTTTGGATTGTTCCTCAAAAATAGGGTCTCACAACTTGAAAAGGATATTGTCACCAAAGGTTTCCAAGGTCAAAACTTTAGCAATTTAATAGTGGAATAAACAAATCAAAAGGGATGAATGAAAAATAAACCCATCCATCCAAAAGGAGCCTCGGTTCTTCACCTCCTTCTAAACATGCATTTGCATGTTTAAAGATCCTTACTTGGCAAGCCCACTCATGGATGTGTCACAGCGTGACACGTGTTTTCCACGTGTCGGAAGCATGACAATACAAGTGGATGGAATAAAAAAAGGAACGAAGCAGAGGGTTAAAGCAGCTATTTAGATGAACAGAACTCACTCTTTTGTGTAATAATTGGGTTTCTAGAGTGTCCAGTCAAGAATATATACTCTCATAAATAACTGCTACATTCGTTCAAGTGTTTGCTGCTGTTGTTTCTTTGAGATGGCAGAGGTTTAGATATTTATAAACGTTTGTATATATATATATATATATATATATATTCACACAAAATTATACTCATTTGAGGTGGAACTGAATGGCAATTATCATTTTTGTTTGGGTAGGAGTGAAGGATTTCAAACATTTTATCTTTGGAAGAGAAAGGAAGTGTATATGAAAAAGTACATCTATCTATTGTAATATCACATTTTTAAATTCTTGAAGTGCAAATTTCTATAGGTACAAAACATTTATACCATTTGGTGGAATAGTAGCATTGCATTGATCACCTTAATCATTGTATCCTTCTCTTGAAGAAATTGCAAAATAAGCATGTTTACATTTGTTGACCGAATCAAACCAAGAAAAAAGGATTCAGCATTTCTAGGGAAAACAATGCATCTCTAACACATTCAAATTCGACTCATGTAAATACATGTGTAGGCAACTTTCTACGCTGGTTTTGGCCAAAATCATGTCGCCCTGAATGAGAGTTGAATGGAAGCTCATCATATTGTCATCCTTTTGGTTGAATTCGGAGCGGTTAAACCAGCATTGTAAACCCTAATCTGGCATCCCCAGCTTTGAATTTTGAGCACAATCCTGTTTTGAAGGACTTTAAACACAGGCTTTTCGTTGCAAAAACAAACCCAGGTGGCACAACGGGGTGGAAAGCCAAAGGGAGGCACATGTGGCAGCACCTCTTCCGAGCTTCCTTCCTGCAATTGGGTCCTCCGCCTTTGATCCTGCACTGCCACTATTACTAAACAAATAAACCTGCATTTCTCATCCTAATAATCAAACACAACCAAACAAAAATAAATCTTCCGTGGACAAATGATGTAGACCTCCCTGCGATCGAAGCCCAACGCTTCCGACTCGTCCTATCTGACGAAGGAGTCGAGCACTAGGTCGCAGCTTTTTTGCAGTCTGACGAGACTCACAGGTCGCAGGCTTTTCGTCAGTGATGGTTAACTACTGGAGAGAAATTTCTGTTACTTGTCTTGCATGCATGTTCCCTGTGTTGTTGTGAGTATCTTCGACTGCGGAGCCTCAAGTTTGTCTTCGTTTCTGGCTGTGTTGAATTTAGCGAGAGTCAGAGAGAGGGGGTGTGTAATGCGGGAGTGAGAGTTGTCGTGATTGTCTCGCCAACAGGTCGTTCTCGAGAATACCCGCTTGCGTTATTTTCTGATTTCGTTGCGGGGTTTGGAGGTTTTATTCTGATTGTGTGAGCTGGGGGTTGCCAAGAGCCTCCTCCCGCCGACGAGATGGTAGCTATGGAGGCTGTGAGACTCGTGCTTCCGATTCCGGGGAAACTCGCGGGCGCTGATGCTCGTAAGCATCGAGCTGCGCAATGTCGGCTGCAGGGCCACCTCGTCTCGTCGCATGGTGCTCTCCCGTTACACTCACCATATCCTGTTTCTGTTTCTCTCCCACATTAGTTTGCCCTTGAATTATATCGATGTGTTTGTGTGAATCTGACGGCGCTTTGGTGCGACTGTTCGATTACCAGAGCTGAGAAGCAGAAGAAGAAGGCCGTTGCAGGTGACCCCCCTTGGTCTGGGCTCTTCTAATGCCCTTTTTGGGAGCCATTGCAAGTCGTTGCTATTGTCGCAACGGATATTGTACACCAGAAGTTCACATGGCCGGAGGGGAATTTCAGCAACGGCCAGGCCCATGGATGTCAACGACGGCTCGGTCGCACGCGACGCCAAGAATTTGATGGACGCTGGCGCTAGCTGGTTCGACGCTTTCTACCGCTTCACGCGTCCCCACACCATTTACGGCTCGGCCTTGGGCGTGATATCCGTGTCTTTGCTCGCAGTTCAAAGTTCCGCTGATTTTACCGGCACTTTTTTCGTAGGGCTTCTGCAGGTTCATTCTTCTATGCCAACTCCAGCAACTTCGACAATCTGTGTGTGCTCTGTTTGCCACAATCTGTACACCATATGGAGTTCCTCGAATTAACATTTTTGATGTGGTGTGTGGGTCTAGGCTTTGGTCCCTGCGCTTCTGATGAATGTTTACATCGTGGGATTGAACCAAATTTATGATATTGAAATTGACAAGGTCAACAAACCGTATCTTCCTTTGGCTTCCGGTGAATTCTCGCTTATTACTGGTATCACTCTGGTGACCATCTGCGCAGCTTTGGTAGGTGTCTCCCTGCGAGCAGCTTTCCATCTTTGAAGAATTTTTTTTTATCAACTAACTGTTTTCGTGAAATTGGGATTCCTTTTCAGTAATGTGAGGCGAGTTTGTGGTTGAGGGGTTACCTGATAGACTGAACGTGGCGCTCGCTGCAGAGTCTCGCAATTGGAGTTGTTGTGGGATCCAGGCCTTTGCTCTGGGCTCTGACTGTGAGTTTGGTGCTTGGGACGGCTTACTCAGCAGATGTACGTGACTTCAAATACTCCCCTAAATCTGAACTTCTTCTGATCATTTAACTAATGCAGGCTACACAGAACAATAATGTTAAACCGTATTCGCGTAGCCGTGAAATTTGTGGTCTTATTTGTGTTGTTCTTTCCTTCGTTTCAGATTCCGTTTTTGAGATGGAAGAAATCTGCCGTTGCTGCGGCATCCTGCATTTTGGCTGTGCGAGCGGTCGTCGTGCAACTGGGCTTCTACTTGCACATGCATGCTTCTGTGCTTGGACGATCAGCTTTATTGACAAAGCCGTTGTATTTCGCAATGGCCTTCATGTGTTTCTTCTCCATCGTCATCGCTCTAGCAAAGGTATTTGTCGTTCTACAAGCACAGTACCTAAAAAGAAATAGAAGTACATCATTCATTCACACACTGACACACACACACACACACGCACATATATATATATATATATATATATATATATATATATTTTTGGTTTTAAATCAACGTGAATCTGGATTGGATGACAGGATATACCGGATGTTGAAGGAGACAAAGTGTTCGGCATTCGGTCGTTCAGTGTAAGGATGGGTCAGACTAAGATTTTCTGGACGTGCGTTGGCCTACTCCAGTGTGCGTACGCAGCAGCTATTACATTTGGGCTCATATCTTGTACAACTCTGTGGAGTAGAGCTGTAATGGTATGTTTCGAAGTAACCACACAATCACCTCCACTAGTCTTTGTCGTTGCTAGATCTTTTTGTTGACTATGAGCGTTGTTTAGCTCCTGTAGCTCCTATTATATAAGTCACTCATGTTCACTTTCAAATTTTCTCCGGCAGGGACTTGGCCATGCTACGTTGGCTGCTGCCCTATGGTTCCGGTCTCAGAATGTGGACATGAAGAGTAGATCCGCTGTTGCGTCCTGGTACATGTTCATCTGGAAGGTGAGTGCTACTGTTATGTGTGTGTTTGTGTGTTTTTCTTTAATCTCTGTGTTCTTCGTCTTCTTTTATTTATTTATTTCTGTTGGTGTTTTTAGTCCTTGTTTGGGATCAAGTCAATAGACTATGGTTCCCTTCGAAAGGTAACCCGAAGGTTTATTCGATAGTTGGTTTGAGGTTTCCCTTGAAATAAACCCGAGGGGGCTCTTCTCACTCTCGGAATCAGTGAACCACACAGTAGTAGTTACACATTACTTTGTCTATGAACCTTTGGTCTCCTTTGAAACGGTTTCCAAAACTACACACTTCTGGATTGAAATGAAAATTTGCGTCGCATGATTCGAAGCTAATGAAAACTAACAGTAATTATTCTCCACTTCCTCTGCAGCTGTTCTACGCCGAGTATCTTCTCATTCCCTTGATACGGTGAAGGACGAAGCCAACCTCCAACGTGAGTCTACGAATTTAATTTCAGCAGAAGGATAAATTTACCATGTAGGCTGGAGTCATGAAGGATAAATTTACCATGTATGCTTCAATTTTTAGCGAAGGAGCTGTCTACCAGCGCCCTTCCACCGAGACTCTTGTAAACAATCTCTTGTAAATCTGGAGTTGCTATACTACTAAGCCCTAGTAACTTGTTTATAGTTTCTTTATTCTTTAGGCTCTTTGGAGATCAAGACATGGTGCTACATAATTCCCTTCTAAATCTGTGTAGGGAAGTGTAGTGCCGTGAGGTGCAAGAGTGCGGGTATTGCGATGTATACGTGAGTGTTGGATTCTTCCAGATTTTTGAGTATCCTTGTCCCTTAGGACTTGATTAATCGAATGTGTAATATAAAGAGGGGATCGGAAACTGTCACCATAGAAACTGTCACCATAGAAACTCACATCCTGTTTCAGAAAGTCTCGAGACTGTCGGATACTTCCTCAGTTGAGGGGCATGCAATGGGCATTCCGTATTGATAGCCACGGTGAATTTTTGTGCACGTCTACGGCGCACCAAGTTGTCGGCATTTGGTGCTCACAGTAATCCGACTCCGATGATCTAGCAGAGAATGCACCGCTTACGACCTAGTCCACCCGTGGGCCCTACTACAACTTAAACAGTTCCCTCACTTACCGACAGAATTGAGTCGGGCTCCGTCTTGTGAGCTTCTCTCGACGGTTTTGGGTACCAGATCCTGAGAGTCCAAACCTTGCGGACTTCCTTCTTAAAGTGAGTCTTGTACCCCCGAATGATGTCACGAGAATGCTTATACTTCCAACATATGCAGTTGTTAGAACACTCGAAAGCATGTAAGAGCCGATCTTTATAGATCTTGAGCTCTAGCAATCTTTCTCTCGGATGAGAGGCAGCTTGGAGATGGAGTCTCTGAGTCCTGCAACGGGGTTTGGAAATTCGATGCGTTTGAAACTGGCCGTTGCCACGCACTGTCTTGGGTGGACTTATTCCATCTTCTGGAAACTGATTTCCGAGCAGCAGTTATTCCCTTGGAACCGACACTCGTCCGGAAAGAATTTCTGTCATGTAAATGTGGACCGACAGTAAATAGCTTGACAATTCCCTCCTGTCGACTAATTGGTACTTCTCGGTGGATAGGGTGCTGGTGTGGGGCGAAGGGTTCCACAATAGTTTGAACCCAAATTTCGCTCTTCGTCGTTCGGAGCAGTTACGCAATTTTTTCATTGCAATGAACGCCACCAGAGATACAGCTGCCCAGAGAGTCTCAGCAACCCCGCCGCCTCTAGCCCCGGAAGAGATTTCCGCGACAGAGTGGTTCTACATGGGGTCCATGGCGTGTTCGTTTGCAGCAGGTGCCGGGTACTCAATCTCATGAAACGACCAACCTTAAATCTCTTCCGCCTATTACGCATGAATGCAAAATTCTAAAAAATTCTCCCTCCGACTCGGATATTCTACCTCACACAGATCTAAATTTCTTTCATCTATTGACAGGTTTCCGGGGCGTGTGTTAGCAGAACGGTCGTTTATTTGGCACTGCGGGCCTGTGGGAGCAGGAGGCAGTTCCAGAGTATTCACCCGAGAACATCTTGCGCAGGTTCTCAACTACCCTTGCCAGTTTGATTGAGCAAGTGCTAAGGCTGTTGAGAAGTGCCCTACTAACATGAATTGGTTTGGTGCAGACGGCTCAAATTCAGACAATTGTTTGCATCCCGGCGCCCGATGGAGTCATTGAATTCGGCACAACAGCACTGGTAATATCCACCCTTTACTTACTCTAAATCAGTGCGCTCTAACTCCTCCATTGTAGTGATTTATGACAATGGAATGCAGGTGGAGAAGGACGTGCAATTGCTGCAGCAGCTACAGTCAGTGTTTCAAGACAACTCAGGCTCAGGCAGCGCCAGGGTGAGCATCCCTTCAGACTGGCTAGTAAATTTGAATTGATATCTACATTGCAGATTTCCGGTCCACGTCAAGTGATGAAGACTACGACGGACCATTGTGGCCATGTCCTGACCGACTCGAATGACAACGGGACAGACCAGAAGAAGTGCCTTCAAAAGATGGAGTCCTACGGATCCTATGGCTGTGCTACGTTCGAGTCCAAAATTCCAACAGCACTTGCTAAAGGCAGCTCTCTTTACGGTTCCACGTGCACACGCGACCAAGAAAGAGGAGGTACAAATCCAATACTCAAACGAGGCTGAAACCTCTGCGCAGTTGTACTCCGGCATGCGGTCTTTCCGTGGGGGTCCCTACTCTTCGGGGGGCTCCAGCATCAGTGCGCATGCGAGAAATGAGCGCAACCGGCGGCAGAAGCTCCACGACCGCTTCATGACGCTCCGAAGCCTGGTTCCCAACATCACTAAGGTAGTCAAATCCCTCAAAAAAACACACAAAATCATATATCAGCTGGCGAGCTCCTTCTCGCAAATCTCTGATCATGTTCTGCGATGTCGATGCAGCCAGACAAAGTGTCGCTGCTCGGAGACGCCGTCCTGTACGTCCAAGACCTTCATCGGCGGGTGACGGAACTCGAAGCAAGCAAGGCACCAACCCCCAAAACACCAACCGAGCCGCGCGTCGAAGTCACCATCGAGAAGAACACGGCATACTTAAAGCTTTCTTCTCCGTGGCAAGACGGCCTCATAATCCACATCCTGGAGCGCCTGCACGACTTTCACCTGGAGGTCGTCGATGTATCTGCTAGAGTTTCGCACGACGCAGTGCTCAACGCCCAACTGAAAGCCAAGGTGAGTGACAACACAAGGTACTCAACCTAAATGCATTTTAAAACCATCTCTCGCCATCTCTTTCACCCAACTTGGGTTGTTCTGATCGCCATCTCGGCATGCGGAGCGCAGGTTATGAGCTCCACCGATGGCGACGACAACGACGATGATGAAGAAGAGGTAGCAAAAACAGCATCAACCATTGAAGCAACTTTGCTTAGCACTATTGCAAACGTGATGTCGAGTGCGCGGTAAGGATTCTAGGAATGTAGACGTGAGGTGGCTATCTTACGATCACGAGGCTTCGTAGATAGATTTCGAGATTTGTGATCGAATTTATTGCAGAATTGTTTCCCGACAACTAAATAATCTTATCTAGTCACTACATTGACGTACTATCTAATATATTATGTGGCGCTTAAAAGCTCACTAATAATTATTTATATTTGAATATTTTTGTAATGTTTTTTTAATGGCAACAGTTATCAAAGCAAGCTCAAGGAGCTAATTCTAAATTTGTTCATGTTATTGCACTATACATGTATGATATATAAAGTTGACATCATCTGACATTGCTATAAGATTAGATGCTTTCATGGCACCTTCATTTATTTGAATAGCCTAGTCTAGACTTCAAATGTTCACTACATGTAATTGCATGTGAAAGTGGTCCAATTTCAATTTCTTAATAAAAGAAAGTAATACGTAGATTTGATGTTTACATAAGAGATCTATTCTTGTTACGAAGGCTTTTGAGATAATTAATACATCAACTTAGAATTGAAAAATCACAAGAGAATATTAATTATGTACCTTTTGAGAGAACAATATCAAAATGCATCTAACAACATTGTTATAAGATACAATGTTGTGCTCATGATAAAATTTCTACTATTTTGTGTTCCAATTTGTTTGACAATATGCTTGAAAGATTGTCCCAATTGTATTTAGACATCTTGAAGATCTTTTGTGGAGATTTTTGAGTATCTATTGACAATGGTGTATTATCACTTTTTATAAGATAAATTAGTATTCTAAGTTGCAAGATAACATTGGTCTAAGTGACTACAAAACATTTATTGTGCAAAACCAAAGTAGTTCATAGATAGTCAACTATCACTCATTGAACACCTTCTTAGATGTTGTCTAGTTTGAAAGAAAAAAAAAAAAAAGAGAAAAGAAAAAAAAAAAAATCTAGTGGTTGGCAAATACATTCATTTAGATTCATTGATTGCATATATAGTAGCTAGAATACTATTGGAAACATAAGTGAAATAGTGTATAATAATAAAAATTCCTAATTAGCAACAATAATGGTTGATTTGATGTTACTATAGATATTGGGAACACACTTTAGTGATCCATTGATGTTAGGATTATATTTCTTTACAAATAGAAACAACCAAAATTTTGAAAGGTATATTGAAGCTTAGTACACCAATATTGTGAAGCATTAGCATATAGAAAAAGTTAATTTTGTAAATATAATTTACAATAATAATACACAAATATATTTAGATAAGCTTTACAAATTTTAGGTGACAAAAGAAGATAGAGAAAACTTTGTTGGAGGTATTACATTTGTAATTGAATTGATAACTAATAGCTTAAAATTTATTAAGAAGAGCAAGCATGGATAAATATTTATTTAAATCAATTCAACAAAGAAAATATTTTTTATTGTATATTGTATAAGCAATGACATGAATTCTATAATTATCTTATTGTCAGACAATGAAGAAAAAATTTAGTGCAAATTTGGATATTAAGAATGACAATAACTTAACTTGCTAATCTAATTGTAAGTGGCAAGCAATTATATACCCAATAAGAGACAAAGATAGTGGATGATTGTAAGTGTACTATAAATTTAAAAAATACTAATATCCATCAATTTGGAATAGACATCAATAAAATAAGAAAGAATATCTTGTCATCTATGTGGTGTTAATCTAATAGTATATTAAAAAGAAGGACATTTCATGCATTGTATAAGATGCCACAATAATATTTAAGGATAATCTACTTGATACCATCTTTTGTATGTTATTTGATAGTTGCATAACATTGTGCATTTATAAAAGTGTTGATGGTTTGTAATATCTTTTTATTTAAATTGAAGGATTTCTTAATGCAAGTATGTTGACTTATAAATAAATATTATCAATGATATGCAAAACACCTTTTTTGAATTAGTGGTTATAAAATTTACTATAGTATACAATATAAAGGAGTGACAAGTAAAAATATATAGTAGTGATTCATTTACTAATCTTTCTTTGAAAATCCATTAAAAAAATCTTATTTACAACCAAAGTAGATCAATTTTATTATAATACAAATTTTAAAGATTATGAATTATCTAAAAATTATTATTATTATTATTTAAAGATCTATACTATATGTATATTTTTAACAACGAGAAATTTTCTCATCAATATTTGAAATTTCAAATTTTCTTATATTTACTATTATTATATATATATTTTTAAAATCAAAATTTTGCATGTGAAGATTATAGACACAGATTTTTTAAACTTCTGATAGTTTTTTTTACGAAATTTATTTATGAATAACGTTTTAAATCTACTATTATCATTATATCAAATTTTATCTATTCATCTTGTAATTATCTAATCTTAGGTTTTCCTTTGCTATAAAGATAGATTTTATGACCAGATTAAATTTAATATCTTGATTTTCTTGCAACAGTATAGTTTAATCTTTTCTTAATAAAATTTCATGTCAAATAATAAAAATGGTATTTTTTTCAAAAATAAAATATTATTAAGATTGTAAAAGTTACAACAGAAGTTCTATCCTGTGCTACTTAAACAGTATCAACGTTTGAATTTTCAATTTTGGTATCCACACAAATTGATTAATAATTTTTTTTAAAGGTGATTTTAATTTCGTAAATTTAATTTAGTTATTCCAAATTCATACATTATATCCAAGCACCAATCTTACAATTTTGCAACTAATTTGTGAGAAATCGTTTGATTTCTATTTGGATTTACTTAGAATCTATCACATATTAAAAAAAAAAAAAAAAAAAAAAAACAGTATATTGATTATGATGTTAAAATCATGCAAAAAATATTCTTAACCAATTTTTGATTTTGCGTTAGGTTTCCAATTCTATTTGTTAACAAAAAAGAAAGATCTTCACAGATGTGTGTATACTGTTGAAATTTCAGTAAAATATTATTCTTATTATTATTACTATTATAATGTATACATATTTTTATTGTAATTTAAAATGTAAATGAATCATTTAAAATAACTTTCACCTTGAATTCATCTTAAATGAATATCCAAAAGCTTCAAATATGATGTGATTTTCATCTTAAATAGATACCTTGAATATAGTTCATCTTCAATTATTTAGTAGAACTAAGTGTTGCCATGTGTAACTCATCTGTATCCAAAAGCATATAATTCATGTTCACAGCATATGTGTAACACATATAATGTCTAACACATCTAAGTTTTGTTTCTAGATTGATGTAATTTTCTCCCTATTGAACCAAGTTGTGCCATATTTTATGTCTTGAGACCTTTAGTGGATTTTACATGATACTTAGAAATTTTCATTCAATGAAACCAATTTTTAAAAATAATCAATAAATTTACAATTGTAACTACAGATAAAAAATAAATAAATTGACAACTTTTTCAAAACTCCATTTTCCCATCTTCATAATACCAAAAATTCATATATTAGCATTTTTTTACAAAAATAATAATTTATTTTCACATGTTCCCTTATTACTTTCCTTCTTTTTGCAAGCTCTCAAGCTATACCAATTACTTGCAAATTTTCTTAATTGATTTATTGATTGTTTATACAATTTTTAACTATAAAAATAATTATTAAATACATGGCCTATTCGATAACCATTTTATTTATTTATTTCTTCTTCCAACCCCCCTTATAAGTTTGAGGATGTCATGCCCAAGATATATTTATTTATTATTTATTATTTTTAGCGTGAACCCACCTCACCTCACGTCGCGACGGGAACGAGACGAGACTTGGCCGTTCCCGACATGGTGACTCCGTTCCCACACCCACGCCGATAGGGGAGCCGTGGACAAAAGCGCGGGCATAGGGGCGGAGTTGGCGATAAGCCCGCCTATGACTGACTGACCTGTCCGTCCTATGGGAGCTGAGGAATCCTCCCAAGTGTCTCGCTTCTTCGAGCTTTGGACGTATTTCATGTGCACGATCCTCTCGTCGAAGCGGCAAAATTAGGTCTCCACTGCTGCTCAGCACACGCTTGTTTCACTTCCGCCGAAGTTCTTCTCAATTTTGCGCCATTTTTTACTGCATTGGGTGGAGAATCGGTGCAGGAAGCAGGTTTTTAGAGCGCGGGGAGGAAGAGGAGAGAGAGGGAGGATCATGTTGGTGTAGAAGCAGATGCTGATCGAGGTGAACAGCACGGTACGATTTCTCTAGGGTTTTGTGTTTGTGAGACATTTTTGAAGACGGTGATTGGGGTCTTTTTGATTCTCGGTGATGATTCTCCGTGTTTTTGTGGTGGGTTTCTGGTGAGCCCAGTGATCGGGTGCTTTGTCTAGTTTCGAGGAAGTTTTATTCTATGGATTTAGCTGTGAAACGTTCAATGTGTGTCACTGGCGCTGGGTGTAGATTCCTAGCTCGCTAGCTCAAATGAGTCTGCTAAGCGTCGTCCATTGTCGTTATGCGTTCATGCATGATAATGTGGTGAATCCTGTTGGATTGAGGTTTGCATTCTTTATCTTTCATTGCGCATTGGTTCGATATCATGAGGCGAATGGATTTCTTCCGTTCTATGTAAAGTAGAAGCTACTATTAATCATATTGTTGGTTGTACTCCTACGTCTGGAAAATTAGAGACGGGGGAAAAAATTAGTACACCATCTGTAATAACTCCGAACGCGCTGGCATAGTAAAAGCTATGTAGTATGCGATAGACCCAGGCAATTTTACAGATTCTGGAGAGTTGGAGTTATTGGGGACCTTAGGCTTTTGAAGTTTTGTGGTTTCTACTTTCGACTTTAATTTCTTTTCATGTGTGTTAACAGGTGACTGACATTTTGAATTAAAGAATGGCCGCTACACGGTCCCTTCAGCAGATATTTTCATTGAAGTCAAGCGGCAATGGGAATGATAGGTTATTCAAGTGCACGGTAATATCGACATTAGCCGCTGGATTGGCTTTGCTGAGTTCGTTATATGTTTTGAGTACGTCATATGTATCTAATACAGAAGAGTGCACAATTCTGAGAAATGGTGTACTCGCGCAGGGGTCAGCCGCCACAGGGGTTTCCAAGGGGGCTATCATCTGTGTTACAGACCTGGGTTTCTCAAGAAGTAGCTTTGGAAATTTGAAAGTATTCAAAACTTCAAATGCAGTTGTAGGGTTAGGTTCAGCTGTCAGGCCATTGGTGCGTGCATCAGTGCTGGCAGGTCCTGCCCTTGATGTTGTGAGGGTCTGCGTGTTTTATGCTCTAGTGCAGACTGGCATTGCGGTTCCAAGTCCTATTCTCAGAGGTATCTTCAAGTACTTCCTTCTGTATCCTGCCTCTTTTGAGCTATGAATGTCTAGTAGGGAAACCTTCCAAAAATTGTGGCTTGTTGTACTCTTTCGATATAAACTGGTGGATGCATTTGTTTTTTTACTGCTTTCCTGGAAGTAGGGGTTACTTTGTCTTTTGGATGGAAATTGCGCTGACTATGTAGTAGGCAGGTACCTTGGATGGAGTGGATGACTCCTCGCGACCGAAATGGCTCGAGAGTTTGTTTGGGAAAGATGAAGGTATTGCTCTTACCTGGCTTGTGTTCTGACTGACATCTCACTGTGCCTCTTCAACACTCTTGTGTTCACAGCCTAGAAATAGTGGAGATTATCTTTTCACATCTAACACACTTCGCGACGTCATCGTTACAGTCTAATGGGCCGTCTGTGAATTGATTTGTTTTACCTTGTTGGATCGGATCTTAGAAGCTGAAAAGGACAAGAATATCATAAAGTTGAGGCGGAACTGGCGCACGAGCATCAAAGGAACACTCACGCGCAAGTACCGCGCCTCGTCTAAGCAAGAAGGACTCAGAATTCTTAACTCAATCTGTTCACTACTTTCTGATGATGATGACTTCGTGGAACTTGGCACCCACAAGGTACGCCAACAATGTTCGCCGAGACTAGAGGCCCTAGTGTTCAATTTTTTCAAATTTCTCCTGAAAACCTCTGCCCCAATCTTTTCTGAAAAATTCTCTCGAAAGTGTTTTCGTTCGAGGCGTCTGAATGTGAATTCCATTACTCGTCTGTTGTGAGCAGGGATGTGCAATTAGGCGTGAAAACGCTCATGCCGAATCTGTGTGCTGCAACAATGTAAGAGCCTTATTCGACGAGCTCCCTACCCCACATCTTGTTGTGGAGATCACGGTCTTTCCCAAAGGGCCCATTACTGACGTCCACTGGCAGAAAGCAGCGAAGCTAGAACAGGTTTTGAAAAGAGGAAATTCTATCTGATTTTCGTCCACTAGTGCAGCTTCTTAATTGTCAGTGACCAGTCTTCATGGATAAAGAGATCGAGTAGTTTCCAGTGTCGTCCTTACCCTAGTGGGATGCTCCAATGCGTCCAAGCTTTTCACTCATGTTTCGTTGCACCAGCTAATGTACATTCTGTCTCACCAACTACTTTTGCTTCGGAGTTCGACTCTCATTGTTTGCAGTTGTTCCTGGTCTTCGAGTTTGAAGCATTCTTTTGTATAGATTGGATACGTAACTTCCACAAGTAGCTAAAGTCGTCTATTGTTAGCTCGGTTGTCTAGAAGGTGTGGACACCGACTTATTTCTACCGTTTTCCACGCTTTTACGACGTTTCTTCAACATGCTGAACACTTATTAACGTTTCGAATCTGGAATGGATGTGTTCGACGATTCAACTATTGGCACCTGGCGACATTGTCGGCTCAGATTCTCCTTTATTATCAGTAGAGGCGTCCGGTAAGATGAATATTTGGTCTTACTTTTCTTTTATGACAACACTTGTAACGATGATGACATTGATAATATTGTGTAACAAAACAAGTCAAATATCTCCATGTAGCTAGTTAGGTATATAGGAAAATGTGGGTTATGAACTAAAACACTTAAAATAAAATGAGATGCTCCATTGTTGTTCTTAGTTGGAAAAGTAAATCTCTGTATTTTTTGATATGGTTTTCTTAGTCATTGTTTTTACAATATTCATCTCATTGTATTCATTGAACTTACATTTTGCACTATCATTTGTTATTTATTGACCTTTTAATGTCTCCTATATATTGTTCTTCAAATTCTTACATTTTTTTCCAATATTTGATTTTTGAGAACTTATTGTTGGAAAAAAGGTTTGTTTTAAATAAGTTAATGTTAGAATAATCCATTCTATTACTAAATTTATCTATCCTATCATTAGAAAAATGGATCATCTCCAAAAACTATCATTAGAATCATGGTATCCTTTTCCATCTTTCTTGTCTCTAGTTCTTGCTCTTTTTGTTTCTAGCTTTCATCTTGATCCTTCTTGTTCCAAGCCTATGCCCTCCTTATTCCTAGCTTTTATCTTGACCTCCCTTCTTCTTGTTTTTAACCTTCATCTAGATCCCTTCTATTCTTAGCCTTTATTTTCAACCAGTGCTTTCAATCCATGCTCCCAATAGAAGTTTTTTAATGTACAAAATGAAGAGATTAGCATTGAATGTAGTATTGCATTGTGGGTATGGAACCAAATTGATGAATACATATTTAAGTCCACTAAATCTTGTTAGAATTCAATATTTGTCAAATTGAATTCTTTTACTTCAAATGTTGTGAATTTGCAAGGTTAAGGAAGTTTTGAAGGACATGATGGGTATCATATAGCCTCAATTTATAGTACTGATTGCCTTAATCAATGAATCAAATCCATACACCATTAATCCACATTTGGGATGTAATAGAGTAAAGAAATGACTTGCCTTACTTAACATGCATCCATTGTATCCATAAAGATGTTTATAGCAAAACAATACAAATGCAAATAAGAAGTACAGTCTTAATGCTAATCTATGTGCATTGGCATATAATTTTTGAGAACTCAAATCAAAAAAATAATCATTGATGGACCAATAAAAGATAACAAAATCATCTCCATAGTGTTTGTTAACTATGCAAAGCTAATATATATCAAAAAATCCAACTTAAACTTGCCAAATTTGGACAAACAATTTCAACAAAATCCCAATTAAATCTAGAAGCTATTAGTTGATTCTTAGAAAAATGTTAAAGATGAGAAGAAACTACAATCATCACTTTTACAAGAGCTCTACTAAAAATATCATGTTCATATGAAAGCAAAGACAACATTATTTGTGTTACTCAAATATTGAAAATTATAAAAGATAAAAATAAATAAATTATTACTAATAGTCTCAAAAGCTTCTTCAATCATAATATTATTGTGGTTAACAATCTCATTTCTATGATAATTTGGTCGAATATGTAAGTCTTGCACTACAATGATTTAATGGTAGTCATACTAAAGTGATTCTTTTTGAATAAATTGGAAGCCTAAAGAAGAAAAAAAAAAGGTAGTTCAATGTATCAAAAGATAAGATCTTAAGTATGCTATTATCATGTTAAAAATTTGATAGATGAATTATCCAAAACTCATATCTAATTATTTTTGTTCAATAATAATTCGAGATATTTAAACATGGATTTTATAAAAGTCTCTTAGTTTATTTTTTTGTCTTAATAGTTAGTAGGTTAAAGGTTGGTTAGTAATTTATCCTTCCAGGCTATAGAGATTCTTTTATTGCCTTAGAAAGACCATAAATTGATAAAATCAGTTTAGAAGAGATAAATGATTAGCATGATTAATACTAAGGTTAAGTTGAGGGTAGGTTTGGGCTAAAAAACCCCTAGGATAGGTTAGATTGATACATGAAGGTTGACCATTTGTGAGATAGGGTTGAAATCAGACCTTTAGCCACTAAAATGATGGCCTAGGACAAAATACAAAGGCATTCAAAGATCGACAATTAGGGTTGGAGAGCTATCTTGGATTTCATTCCAAAGACCTAAGGCTTGTTTTTTAGGGTTTGGTTTGACTTTGCAATTGTTATTCAAAATCAAGATTTGTAATGGTGACTTGAAATTTATACAATACAAATACAACTAGCACTCTTGGTTAATACATAAAATTGGTGTTCCATCTATGGTTCAAAATTTAATAGTGTTTGGTTAATTAGGTGTGCTAAGTGTTTATGAAATTTTGTGATAATCTAACTGTGGAATTGAGAGATATATGAGTTTTGGTACAAGAAGGTATCAGAAGCTGACAATTTAGGGTTGGATAGGGTTTCTATGATACTTAAAGTTCTACTAATTGGATCAAAGTGAAATTTGGCATGATGTTAGAGGATTTGAAGATCAAGCTATGTACTAATTTTGAATTTAAGTTAGAAGTTGGAAAAGGAGAAATCACTATTGAAGCATTTGCATCAACTTTTAAGTTGGCAATCAAGTAACATCAATGTAGTTTTGGGCATTTTCTCGTAATTTATAATTAGATTGGGTTGAATTCTTTAGAGCACATAGAAGACTTATAGTGGTATTTGTGTGCAAAATTTTTCTCCAAGTGGACGATTAGATTAGTAGCTACAACTTGCTAAAGCTTGCTAATTAGGATTATGGCTTGCAAAGGAAAATCAAAATTGTCTAATTATGAAAGTAATAAGGCAATTGGAGTTTATGTATAGTTGAGATTACTAAGAAGAGTGTTTTTGAGCACTTTGTATTGGATTTAAGTACTTTGAATTAAAATTCAAATTGCATTCTTTTTATGAGGGTAAAATATACTAAGATTCTTAAATACTTATAAAATACAATTTCACCTTCTGTAGCCAGATGCTCGATGCATTTTTAAATAGAAAAATACATAATACAATAACATATAAAATACCAATAGATTCAAAGTCTCTAATATTTATTAATTTGAAGTAACTAGCCTTTTAAACTATCCTTAACCTTGTAAATTTATGACATTGAAAGTAAAGGAATTTGATATGACAAATATTGAAGGCTAGCAAGATTTAATAGATTCAAATGTGTATTCATCTATACCTTAAGTTTGATTCCATATCCATAGTGCAACACTAGACTCAACACTAATCTCTTCATTGTGTATGTTAAAAAACTTTTATAGAGAGTGTGAGTTAAGAATGGAAGTTGGGAATGGACGGAGTTAGAATGAAGGTTAGGAACAAGACAAATAGGGGGTGGGATGAAAACTAGAAATGGGAAGAAGAGAGGCTAGGAATGAAGGAAGTTGGGATGAAAACTAGAAACAAGAGGGGTGGGAATGAGAGTCATGTTTCTAATGATGGTTTTTAGAGATAATCAATTTTTCTAATGATAGTTATAATAGGATGGATTGATTTAGTAAAATAGTGGGTCATTTCAACATTTCTCTTTAAATATTATTTTAAAAAATATTTGGAAGTTTATACTTGATTTTAATTTAATACTACTAACAGTATTAATATTAAAATATATATTATTTAATCATTTTTTATTTTATTTTATTTATTTTTTTATAAAAGTATAGACAAGTCAAATATGAATAGGTTGAATTAAAAAGTATTCAACATAAGTAGATACTAAAGTTAAAAAATGAATCAAATTTATAACTTATTATTTAATACTAAGTAACATATTTTAATACATTTTGATACTTAAAAAAACCATAGCTTAAGATAGAAAAGATTCAACTTTTAAGAATTAAAATATATGAATGAAAGATCACAATTTAAGACTTTAGAATTTTTTTTATTTAACTTCCATGATAGAAATAAGATAGAATTTACAAAAAAAATGATAAAAATAAATTTAGCAATCATATACAATATTAGAAATCAATTCAGAATTTATGATGTTTATGAATTGGTATTTTTATAATTTAAATATAATTAAGTTAAAAACTAATCTATTTTTAAAGTATTTGATTCAATATAAAGAAATATATTTATATATTTGGTATATGTATATAATTAATTATTTAAAAAGAAAAAATGATTGTATTTTAAAAAATATTAAAGTAATAAATTCACATATATTATTTATTTTATTAACATATATATAATATAATTTGAGATATTCATAAATTCATATTTTTATTATTTAATTTTAGTCCTAAAATACATAATTATAATAACATAAAATAAAAATTTAATAAATATCTTTATAAATATATAATTTTTAAATATTATTATTTTTCAAAAGAAGTAAAAGTAACGATTAAAAGAACTATTAAAAATTATTCTTAACTATGTAATGTAGGCTCTCTTTTTCCATCCTTCTAGTGAGTTTGGCCTTCCAAAGAGTATATAGAAGATGGTTGATAGAGATTTTATGGATTATAAAAATAAAATTTAAATTAAAAAACTTGTGTAGCATATGTATGCAAAAAAGATATTTGACAAGATATATTTATAGTAATACTATAAATCTATCTTATCTAATATAGAAAAAACTATTTTTATTATTTTTTACCAAATTAAACCATTTCATATAATCTTTTAAATTCAATAAGATATCTTACCATTATCAATTTATTTACTTTATACATCTATATATGTATATATATATCTATATATAAATATATGAATGTATAAATATATCAATAAAAAAATATATGAGTACATATATATATATATATATATATTTATCTTAACTATTTATTTTCTATCTATATGGTTATCAATAAATAACTAGTCTTACATCTAATACTTACTAAAATACTAAATAATTCAAAGTGATATAATTTATTTTAATTTTTAAATTTTTATAATTAGATAAAATTATAATAGATTTATTGATATTTGATAGTAGATTGCAAATATTGTTTTAATATTCAATTCATACCTTTTTTTATTATTAATTTAAGTATAAAAGTTTTAAAAAAATTGATATCAAGTTTAACAAGTAAATAAGAAACTTTTGAAATTATAATATATATTAATACATATAATATTGATAGTAAGTTTTTTTTAATATTGATAAATAATATAAAAAATAAATTTGTTTCTTTATCAATAACAATAATTTTCTTGAATATATCTTATTATTTTTCATGTTTGTCTAATACTTATTATAATATCTACATAAATGAAGATAAGATATTATATAAGTACCTTAAAATTAATTCTTGCAATTTGTATATAAGTATTTTTTTAATAAATACATCTTAAAATTTTTTAAACATTAAAAAGAAAATTATATTGGTATTTTTTTTGGATAAATCAAAAAAATATATTAGAATTTTAATATCTAAGTAGTGTAATTTTTTTTTTATAACCACAATAAGTCTACGATGATAAGATTGGTTGTAGACTTTATAATATTTAAGACTACTAAACATTTAAAACTCTAAAAATTACATCTACAAGAAAGTTTTTATAAGCAACATTTTAAAAGATAAAGATTAGCTATCTATGACCAATATATTTACATGGTTAGCTTTTTTTACCATTTATATCTTGTAATATATAGCAAATTTTTTAGAATTTAATGATTGAAAAGTAAAAAACATAAAGCTTATGGATCTTAAATAAGCTTATACTAAAAAAAGATTAAATTTTAAATAATATATAATCTTTATAAAATAAGCTTGTACAAAAATTCAATTATACAATATCTATTACTGCTAGAAAATTATATTTTTCAACACATATCTTCTTTTAAAATTTTAATCTCTATTTTGTGATTTTTTTTAGCTTCTTTAGGAATCTTAGAGAATATTTTTTATTCCTCTAAAATAAATACATAATTCTTCCTATCAAAGTTTTGATCCTCTATAATAATTGCACAATTCATCATATCCATATTGAGATTTTTTATTTTATACCAATAAATTTTCATTGTACAATATCAATTTGAATATTCTCTACAATTGATTGAGTATTTTGATTGATAGAATAATATATTGTAAAAATATAAGAGCGTTGAGATGCCATCATACAACTTTTTACAATTATATCTGATAATGAAAAACTAATTGTTATATTTAAGTATAAAATTAATTATTTGATTATGAATTAAAGGATAAAAAAATCAAGAAACAATTTTTTTATTCCATAATATAATTTATAAAAATATATGATTGATAAGTGTAGTATTATTTTATTTAATATTAATTGTGGGTTATCAAAATTGTGATACATTTGTACAAACGAAAAAAAAAAATATCTTAAATTTCTTTTTGGTTGATGTATAAATTTTATCATATTTCTTATGTATAAATTATACTTTTTTTTGGACTTAATTTAATATATTGAATAGAATTAATTGTAATATAAACTATTCTTTAGTTGAAAATAAATTTATCTCATTTAAAATAAGATACAAAACTATATATGTTCAAACTATTAGATCTTAAATTTAACCAAATTTTATTTTAGTTCTTTTAAGGAATATAAGAAATTATATCTAATTGAAAAAGTTATAGGTTTGTGGTGGTTCTAGCTCTATAAGACTTGATTTCTATTAAATTTCATCCATTATATTTTTATCAAGTTTATTATTGCTTATAAAGATTTTTACATCAATTTGTAGAATAATTAAGCTTTCACTTGTTTTTATATAGTCATTTTTTTCTTAGTTGTCATATGTCTAGTTGGCATATGTTTTTGAAACCAATCTTTTTAACTATCTAAATAAAAATTTGAAAATCTTATTTTATCTAAATAAAAATCCATAGGCTAACATTTATTAGAATCTATTTGATTCTTGTTAATCAACTTCATGCATAGCTTATTAATGACCTTGTTAGTTAACTCTTTGTGCCCATTGCTTTGGATTTTTTCTATCAATTATTAATATTAAATATGAAACAAATTATCATTACTTATTAAGCTAAAATAAATTACAATAATTTTTTTATGCACCATGCTTTTAAGTTTTTGGCTACACTATAGATTTTTCTTAGCTTATATACTATCATGAAGTTGTATTTTATAAGCAAAAGAATCCGTCAATATACACATACAAAAAAGAAGTAATTTAAATTTAAAAATTATTTCCTATGAAAATCTTATTGAACTTTTTAATATTTATTTTATATTACCTGCATATATACTAATTTATTTGTACTTTAATTCTTTAAAATAAAAAATTATTTATAATCTATAAATTTTTTAAGTAAAAATAAGTAATTAAAAAATATATACATCTTATTATTTTTTCATTAAAAATTAATAAAAAATTAGTAATATGAAATAATTTTTAAAAATAAAAAAAAAATATTTGTAAGATTAAATATGAGTTTTAAATTATTTTTGATGCTTTTATGTGAAAGTTCCTACTTAACACTTTTCTATCTTGCAAAATTGTAGAACACAATCAATTATATTTTAAATAGAGCAGAAGAAATAAAGAGAAAAATTAAAAATGAAAACCACAATTAATGGGACTTATAGAGTTATTTGATTATAATAATTTATCATAAAAACATAAATGAGTAAATTTTTTATATCACATAATTTAAAAAAATATATGAAATAACCCATAAATTCTTATATATATATATATATATATATATATATTTGAAACATATTTTAGATTATTATAAAACATGTATATATATATATATATATATACATATATATTCTCAAACATGATAAGATACTACTTTGTTTTACTCAAATAGAAAGTAGTACAAAGAACTCTTCATGTACAAACACATCCTCTTTTTCTATTCATTCTTCTTCATGTTGTGCAAATAAATATTTTAATATTCTAATCACAATAATTTCAATCACAACAATCAAACCCCAAAAAACCATCTGTTATCAAACAATCTCGAGAAGTCATCAAATCCCGAAAAGTCATCCACTCGCCAGAGAGCACCACCGGCGGTAATGGGTCCCTAGTCCGCTCCCCCCCCCCGCCGCCCCTCCCCGCCGCCACCCTGCTACCTATCGCCACATCCAATGAAGCATCCACCTAAACCCCGCACAACACAAATATCGCACCGACGCAACAGTGCTGCCGACACCGACGCCCCCACTGTCCCCTCGGAGAGGGCCCCATGACACAAATTCGATCCGTTCCCAGGAAACCGGGCCTGGACCAGCCAAGTGGAATGGTAAGGGCGGGAAAGGGGGGGGTTCAGGTAGGTCGCAGCGAGCATTCTGGACACGCCTGCTCTCCGAATTACCGCACGTGAAAAATGAGCCCGTTGACGTGGTCCACTCTGGATGTTCCAAAATAATTCCTTTAGTTAATGGTTTTGTGTTCACACAAGAGCTTATTTTGGTGCTTTCCGGGCCGTGGTGGCAGCGTAAACCCTGGCTAGCCGCGTTGCCTACATCGTACACAGCGTAACGTGGCAGGAATTGAAGAGAGTTTTCAAAGCTTGGTGCTACGAGGAGGAAATTTCCCCTGGTGAAGCTTTGTCCACTTCGGTGGCTGAATGCCTTAAATGCCGTCAGACGCTCAATGCAGGTTGATATGCAGGTTCTCAAGGCTATTAGTGAAAGGAGGTCAACGAGTACCTTTTGAATGAGATGATCCGCCGGATTACCACCCCCAAATCTGTAGAGGATTGTGACATTGAGGGTGTTGTGATCAAGCGTTGGTGTGCAAAGCATCTGAGTTTTGGCGGAGGCTTTAGGGAGCCAGGTTGCAGTTCGTCTTCTGTAGTTGTTCGTAGTGGTGTGTTTCAATTGGAACTGAGTTGAATGTAGAATTGAGTTTCGTTGGAGGAAAGCGTCAGCGATTCCGGGCTGAGTGTTTCGGTTCCGAAGAGTGGGTTGCGATTTCAATCGCGCACGAGAGGGTAGCGCCGCGTTGTAGTGTTCAATTGGAAGCCAGTAGTGTGAAATTGCGTAAGCAGGCCGCATTGGAGTGGAGGAAGGTTGAAGGGAAATTTCCGTTTCTATTTCCATTCCAAGGAGATATACTAGGTCCACTGCACGGGGGAACAAAACCTTTTCCAATTTGCGAAGAGGTGAAGACTGTTCGGTTCTTTTTCCGGCGAAAGATAAAATCTTGATCAGAGTGTTGTTCAAGATCAAATCCGTAAGAGAAAAAGCTTCATTACAGTCGTTGAAATGCAATCTAGATTCCTTAATTAGGACACTTTCGCAATCCGGCGAAGGTCGAAATTTTTGAGTCAAGGTTTATTATGATCCAAGTTTGCAGACTGCCAATGTCAGACCAGCCCGAATTTAGCAATCTTCCGGAGATCCACATACCTCCGGACCCAATCCCTACGTCTGTAAACTCTACCCGCCGGGGCATTCCCAACCCAGTCTCCGAGGTGTCGATGATTGTCTACGCGCTAACGCAAGCTGCAGGACGTGAAGCATCGAGGGTGCCGGATCATGGCTATGGCACACCGTGGGCGGACACCTCCCGAATGGTCTCAATTACACGAGGCTCCTACTCTGAGTACGTGGATGTCAATCGTGCATCTGCAACTTTATGGACGCCGATCACAGAAAACTGGAGCGAGCAGTTGCAGCGCAGCGACAGCCCGTGCCACTTCCAGGACACCTTCCCCGAGCCTGGCCATTCGGGCGAATTCGGCTCGCAACAGCCGCATCAGCACGACACCCCCTCGCCTGATCCCCACGGTAAGCATTACGTGAATTCTTCTTGTGTCTAAACCACCGACCATCCGTAAACCCTCTACCGTGTTGGCTACTTATTATTAAAACTCACTCCAAGATTTTTTTAGGTCATGAAGCTTGGAGTGTCAGCAAAGACACGAAGGGTCTTTTTCTTCTCCTTAGTCTGTATATGTAAAATAAATCTAACTATACAAAAGAACTAATGAAATATTTATTAAAATAAATGTAATAAGGTGTATGCAAAATAAAATAAAATGTGGGGGCCTTGTTTTGGCAAGCTCGTGGGTAATTTGCAGGTGCTCTCAATGCAACTTCGCGTAGGTTTAGCCTCCTCCGATTAATCAATTATCAACAGTGCATGTCGTGAATATATATACAACTTTCTGTGATGACACGTAGGTTTAGGTTTGGATGGAGACTGCTGGTGCTGATTTTTCTGGGTTTGTATTGTGAATTGTAGACTCGCAAATGCACGAGAGCACTTTTAAACAGGACAAGGGAATGCAGTCTGCGAGAATGATACCCGAGGAGACACACTCTCCCGAGCCAGCCAAGAAGCGCAAGTACCGAGGCGTGAGGCAGCGACCGTGGGGGAAATGGGCCGCAGAAATTCGTGACCCGAAGAAGGCCGCGCGCGTGTGGCTCGGGACGTATGACACCGCGGAGGAGGCCGCGCAAGCATACGACAAGGCGGCCAAGGAGTTTCGGGGATTGCGAGCGAGGCTGAATTTCCCCGACGGAGTGCACATGGGCATCGGATCGTCTTCTCGAACTAGCCCTCCGTCGAGAGTCGCCCGCGGATCGTCCAGCGGGAGTCTGCCCGCTTCGTCTTCCGCAGCTCCTACCTCTCTAAGCCCTAAATCCCTCATCGTCGAATCGCACCGCTACCATGAAAATCATTCCGTGTCAGAGGATTCAAGCTGGAATCCTCCAAGTCGCGCTTCGTCAAGCACAGATCACTCTCCGGTGAACTCAGCTCGTTCGAAGTTTGCTCCAGCGCAGTATTCTTTTGGACAATCGTACTTGCAATCAGGCTCTAATTATCAATCCACTGACAACGATCCATCGCCTCCTACGCAACACTCGGATGCATGGGAGGAGATGCTGAGGTACCCCAGTCATCAAGACATCATGTACTACGATTCAGCGCCACACTACCGTTACTCTCCTTACGGATCCCAGCCATCATTCTCAAGCCCAGCGGACGCTTTCTCCACTTCGGGATCTAGCATTCCGACATCAACGTCGAGTTACATGGTTTCACGACAGCAGGAAGTAGCCGATTCTCTCACCAGGGAGGCCCTATCTCTGCCGTTTGGATCAGATCAGTATTCTTATTTCCAGAACTCTAAAAATTCAAGCGCACCCGTGCTCTCATACGACCAGATTTTCGAGCAGGAGCCACGCACTTGGCCGTCATCTAGTGCAGAGAATCTTCCTCCGAGTTACGACTTTCCGTTTTATCGCAGGAACTAGAATATTCATAAAATGTGTATTATTAGGCTTTGTGGATGTTCATCCCCGAGAGAACATTTCGGCCGTATGATGTTTCATCTCATTTATTCAATTTATCATCGGGATGTTAAAGTTGACAGGTTTTAGGAGTTTAGTCGCACACATTCTTCTCGGAATAACTGACAGAGTCAGGTAGTTTAACTTTTTCCCAGTCAAACATTGGACTGCCTCTCAAAGGCAAATCTAATTTTATGAGAAAAGAAATACGTTACTGTGACTTGTAACGGTCTTGCGGATTCTATCTAAAAAACATTCTGTGGGTTCAACATTCTCTTCTCACTTGTGCTTTGGTCCTCACGTGAAACTCGCGGCTCGTGCAAGTCTACGCAGCCGTCGAAATTCTGGCCACCTACAAATAGAACTTAGCTCTCGAACATGCTTACTTGTTTCATGGTCGGAGAACCCTTTACTGTTGTTTGAAAGTGTCCAGAAGTGTCCAAAGCTTCGATGGTTCCGCATCGTCTATGTGATCAGATCCGCAGCCTTTTTTTTTGTTTCATATTCATAATTAAGATTGCCCAGCGCCATCTCGGCAACTCTTTCCAAGTGATACGCAACTGCCTATCTAGTTATGTGAATATCGTTCTAAATAGATCAGCCACAATCTGCGGTTCTGTGTACTTGAAACAGTTCCGCAGATATACGAATATTAAAACCATTTAAGTCGAACGAAGAAGTTGACAGTTCTTTTCAAATAGAAGGGCATTTGAACATCAATGCTTGTTTCACTAGCCTGGCGGCATCCCCAGACCTGATACAACTGCTGCCCTCTATTATTCACTTCACGGATTCACTGAAGCTTATTATCGGAACTCTCCTCGCTCAGATTGTTGGACAATCTTTGTCAGCAGTGTGTCAAGCTTCGATAGCTACTTGAAAGTCGATCAGATTCAGCAAATTACAAGGCTGTTTCACTTTGATCAATCAACGATTATCTTACGTTTGATTCTCATTGATAATCACTCTCTGGTACAACTACGGACTTCTTCTTGGGGCCAATCCTCCACATACTTTGCATCATGCAAGAGAGTCAGAATACTTCTGAACCAATTACAATTAGAGTTAAAGCGATGCTCAATACACACATAAAAAAGGATCTAATAAATGTATGGATCTTTGCAATTACAATTCTTCAGGAAAGTGTTCTCAGATGCAATCAACCTTGCACGAATCATCTTCGGTACTCTAATGTACGTATGAGGGTGCTAGAATTTGGCGCTGATGTGCTTGGTAACCTTGCTACTATAAATACAGCGTACTACAAATCATCCAATTGAGAAGGAAGATACACTGACGAAAGCCTGTTACTAGCCCTACGAATAGTACATGCTCTTCAATACATAACTATGCGGCAGCACAATCTGATCTCATGTATCCTAAGCACCATTACGGTCAAAGTATTCGTGTTTGAGTCCGCTACTTCCGTCAAAAACCCAGGTCTTTCACCGAGTGTGAGTAATCTACATGATCGAATCACTTCACTGCCCCTACAAATATGGTAGCATGCCAGTGCTCAATCCGTCGCACTGGAGTCAATCCTATTTAATACGGTACATAGAAAGGGGAGCAAATTGTTACAAACGATGCTGATTGTCTCTTGGATGATCCAATTCCTCAACGCTTCTCTGCTGCACATGTTCTCGGAAGCAGTGCAAATCTGCACATCCTCAGAATCGGATTCCATGAGTTGGTCACCTGCACATGCGCGTCTTCACGTGCGTGAGTTACATTGAGTTGCTGTACTCGTCGAGCTCTATCTTCTGTCTCTTTTGCTGCCTCCTCCCGAATTCTGTTCCTAGGTCTCCGAGAATATTTACGTCTTTGTGTCCTCCGATCCGTCAAAGCTACAGCTTCCAGGCCATACATCCCTGCCCCTGACCTACTAAGTGAGCTCAAACCAACTGATTGTCCTAATTCAGAGCCTTTTATGTCCAGCAATCCATCTGCAGCTTGCCCGTCGCTATTACTAAAATCAGAAGGAATGTTACTATGGTGCTCTATTCCTATCAAGCTACACTTGGGATTGCTGAACGGGGCGCTTGTTCTGGCGTAGAATCTGTGCTTGTACTGCCATCCAGTGTGGCCAAGGCCTATCAACCCATCACCCGAACAGTCATCGCAGTCTCTGTGGTCGGACCTCTCGACGACCTCCATCCGGGTGGAATTAAACAAAAGTGCCTCCCTTTCAGCCTCTCGCAGCCAGTCTGGCTTCGAAAGAGGGTCGTAGAGAGGCGCAGGTGAGCTCTTGAAGAGTTTGCGAGAAGTAAACGTGGAAGAGTTGCTTCCAGGGAACACTTCGGAGTTCGTGGTATCTATCGTGATAGAGCGGCGTTTAATCTTCTTTGTGTTTACCATGGCATCTGTTCGTCCAAGTATGTACCCTCTCAGTCCTACGACTGGCATTACTCCAACTCTGCCTCAGAACAGAAGCAGATGTCATATGTTAGAACGTTCAACCTGAAAGATCCTCGTTTGATGTCGAGAAAACACAAAGCTAAACAAAGATACGAGCGAGCAAGGACTCAAATCGATATGAAGTTAACTAAGAGGTGGTATTACCCTTCGCAAAACAAGCAGGACGAATTAGACGAATTAGGTTGGCCATGGGACCAGCAAGGCTGGAGAGCGAGCAGGCCTGATCCTTTGCATCGTGGACATTTTGCTCGGTTGCCATCTCTTTTGCGAAGGATTTCCCTGACGTCTTGGAGGAATAACGCAGTTCTCTGAATCTGAAAAACAAGGAGCGTCCATCGCCGTCAAAACGCCATTGACAAGTTCGTGGCAAGAGAGAAGGCTAAGTATTCAACTACCATCATTTCTAACATCACTGACAAACATTTTGATCCAGAATTGACTATGGTTTTCCTGTGCAGCTAAAATGCTTTGGTTTGAATCCGACCAATTCGACGGCCATTTCTAAGTGAGCTACAGAAGCAGTCTGCCTCGCATAATTAAACACTGAACCACTCATATAACGCAGCCAGGCTCGAGAAGGAGGACAGAAGATTCTGAAAATAGAATAACCCTTACAAGAACCCTACCCTAATGTACTCACTTGAAACTTTATCGAGCTTGACAAGAAAAAATCCAAATCGGTTGATCACACGCAAACTGCAACTCGAGTTGAAATTGAGCTTCAAACCATCCGAGCATGTGCATGAGCGCTTCTCGAGCACTTCATTACACAATCATTCAGAAGCAAGGAAATACGAACCTCAAACCAACTTGCAATGACGACGAGTTCTTACCACATCTACCATGCCGTCAAAGAATTCCACAACTGGGCGAAAACTTGGCTTGAGTACTCATACTACTGAAAACCTCCTTGTGATCTCACTTAGGCAATAGTAACACTCGCATCGCGATGCAGCGCAAGAGCACAAACTACCTCCAGAACCCCACCCCTTCCTCCAACAACGAAACCCCAAAAAAATCTCTTCAGAACCCTACAAGATAAACCCCTCTCAAGCTAAAAAAATCGATCGATTATCCCCTTCAGCACCCTCCACACCCTCACAATAGAATCAATAGATGCCCTCTCCTGTACCCAACGAAAGTAACTTCACCAGGTGGTGGGAAGCGGGAGATCACATGCAACTCTAGTGTCGAGGAATTCGCTCCACGAGATGCGCACGCTCGTAATCATCTACAATTGCGTCGAGTCCTGACTACAGTACTTCGAGGTTTGATAGTTCAATGAATTCCCAACGCTGCCACCGCGATCCAGTGACAGCACATGATTTTCCAGATTCTCGACACGGCACATGTTCATCCCTGAGGTGTGTTGAGCGACGCCCCCACATCGAGGCCCCATCCATCCGGGCCTCATCCTCCTTCTCCCCCCCCCCCCCCCCCCCCTACCGAGGTCTTTGTCAGAGTCTCCCTTTAAGCTTTCGGGAGCGAGAGCGAGATGCCAGCGGCATTGGCAGTGCGCAGTGGCGCTTGCCCCCGACTATGGTAGCCACTGTCCTCGAGTGGCCTCATTCTCTAATTCCCTCACCCACGCACTGGAGTATCTCGTTCGATCCTCGGTGACAATATTCGTTTCTCATTCAGCCTATTTCTCACGTATCTCTAGACGGTACTTGAAGAGTTTTAACATAGGTTTTCGCGCTACTCTGTTTGCTTTTTGTTCTTATGGCGTCGGCGCTATCCCGCCTGTGTAGCGTGTTGGATTGATGCACATAGATCTAAGCTCTCCGGTAGCTGGAGTTTGTTCAATTGGCTGTATATGTATATTTTTTCAGTGAAGGTTTTTGTCCCTTCCTTCCTCGCTTGGTTTGTTTCTGGAAGCTATGGCGTATTCTATGGAGCACGACAACGGGAATGAAGTTGAATGTCGTGCGAGAAATTCTGGACCAAACCCAGAGCATTTTAATATCATTTTTGTTGATCTTCAAGAGGTGGGATGATCGCCGCTTCCCCTTGTTTTTTTTTCTGCTCGTAACGGATATGCAATTTCTTCAAAATAGAACCGAACGCAATTTTGATTGTTTAATTACACGCTAAGTTTACAGTTTGTGGCGGTTAGCTAGCAATGGAACCATGTGTATCTTCTCTCAAGTATGATCTTATCTCGCCACTTAATCACCTGGGTATCCTCTCAAGGTCCTGCTATTGGAGTTGCCCTAGTGAAATAAGTAGTGGTCACGTGCCCTAATGATTAGTCCGTTGTCTTGTTTTCGATGCTGAGTTTTGTCCTAAGGATTTTGTTTGCAAATGTTGTCAGTGATGGGCCTGAAAGCCAATGCGCAGCTTACGTCACGGACAACCCAGGATATAAATTATTGAATGTGATGTACTTCATTTCCAGAACCCTTCGTAGAGTCAGGCTCGCTGCTGAAGTCATATTCTCATTACTGCTTTCTGTGTTGTGATCAAATGTGTACGTGAAGAGGCTGTTCTGAGATATTGCCATATTTGTATGCAGGAATTAGTGGCAGCATGGCAAGATGAGATCACTAGAGAGCTTCCTCCAGCACTCCTTGATCAATCCAGTACTGCTACATCGCCCATCTCAATAGCGACTTATAATGATTTCATTCAAGAATTTTTGAAATCAACCCAAGTTGATTGCATAGTTTCGCCTGCCAACAGCTTTGGCCTAATGGATGGTGGGCTTGATCTCACAATTTCGAAGTATTACGGTGGCGTTGCGAGGCTGGTCCCTATTGTGAGGTCCGCCCTAGTCGACGAGTGGTGCGGACAGCAGAATGTTGGTACTTGCGTGCTCGTTGATACGCAGAAACTCATTCAAGGTGCAAATCACGGGAATAACGTGCCTAGGTATTCCCGGTCTCTCGGTTCTGATTATTCCGCGATCCCTTAAAACCCAGTTGTTTCAGTTATTCCCAACAAATTTTCGGCAGATCTAATAATGTGTTGAATGACACTTTATCAGGTATATAGCCCATGTTCCAACTATGCGCGTCCCGAAGCTGTTGCTTCCCGACGATGACATCGCCTATCGCTGCACATGGGCGCTTCTAACTGCTGTGCGGAAGCACAACAATGAAATACTCAAACAGGATCAAACGAGAACAGGAGGTGAACGAATCAACACAGTCCTATGTTCTGGTTTTGGAACTGGGATCGGGAATTTCCCTTTGCAAGAGTGTGCTCGTCAAATGGTTCTCGCTGTGAAGCATTTTGCTGAGAGGACTTCGTCGAACTCCACCAATGAGGATGACCTACGAGGCTCCTCTCATTTGATGACTCTGTGGGACAAGGCTGAGAGGATTGAGGACGCTGTCTGCTGCGTCGTTCCTGAGAAGTCTGGTGAGACGCCCTCGTCTCCGTGTACTTTCGAGGTCCTCGGGAAGTAGTCTGCTCGGTCAGGTTAATTTCTGCTAGTTTTTACATGATCTTTCCGATCCCACCGACGTGGCATTATGCTGCCACAAAAACCCCTCACTAATAGAATCTTACTCTGCTCGTTTTCTTCGTCTCCTGGACATTTGATTCACTGGATTCATTTCGCATTGAGCTCGTTCAGGTTTGCTGCAATTGCACTCACATCTTAAACGGTTTAGCAATTCTCTTGGGGGAACTCGGCGACCCAAATGCGAGTCCACTTCACTTCGATGGCCAATTTTCGGAAACTTCCATGGTTCGATGCATTGACCCCAATTTAGATACGGATTTCTTCAACTCTATCCATGTGAAAAAAAAAAAAACAGAATGAAAGAAGCCAACTAGCGTCCAAGAAATGTTGATGGATACACGATTCTCATCACATAGTCTATTGTCGAGTAGAAATACGAAGCGGGTCGATGCGCTCGCTCCTTAACCAGGTAATATGTACTCGGTGGACGAGGATGAAGTCTTCAAGAATGGATTCTTGCAGTTATGCTGAGTGGATTGGGAGCCTACTGATTTTCCCTTCGAGACTTCATACATGTTTACGTTCTTTTAAAATGGGACACATCGAAAGATTATGTGTCAGGATCTATGTGACAGTGTATGCGTAAGTGAGTCTATTGCCAAATTGGTTGCCACGGTGTAAAGCAGATTGAGGTTTCCACATTGCCCGACATTTCCTCCGAATCCATCGTTAACTTCGAATCCCAGGCCTCCAATGCCACAGCAAACCGAAGCTCCGCTTGTGACGTCGTCTGCGCCGCCTGTACGACTTATTTGTCACTCCTTTTCGCATATCTAGTCCAAAATGATTTGAATCCAGCAACTCAGGTGAAAATTCATTATCATGAAATTTAAGCAAGCGAACAACGGCAGATCGCCAAGGAACGATCCGACAGCACGGAAATAGGCATTATTCTACCCACAACGCACAATACTCGGGAATTGGGCTGTTCACAAACTGCAACACGAGGTTCAGCTCTTTGACTCTGTCCTGCCTTCATACAGAAGACTTTGTGACCTACAGAAGCTACTCACGGATTTTCCATTGTACTGCTAAAACTGTTGCATACCGTTTGCAACAACTTCGATAGAGAAGGTTTAGGATTACATATACATATGATGTGATATTTACTGATAGTAGAAGTGCTCTCCCCTTGATCTGTGAGCCGGAACCCTCCGCCACTCTCTAGCTGCTTCGTGCATTTCTTTGGAATTCCAGCTTTCAAAATTGGAACTAATTATTCTAGATTAGCAGAGTTGTTAGCATCATGCCGATCACTGTATCCTGGCAACCTAACGTCCAAGCGACTTGCTTGAATGTAGTAGGGCAATGTCGGGAGGATATTAGAATCTCCGGCAATCGATACCGCATTCCAAGATCAAGAGTTTGGCGCGGTACCCGATGTTGCATCAATAGCTCAGTACCTGAAACCTCCAAACTGCAAAATTCGAAAAGCTTCAAGGAAGAGAGTAGATTCGTAGTGCCCGATCGGAGTCAAAATGATACGCCGTTGGTTCCAAATCTCAGAGACGACAATCTACACACCCGCAGTGCTCCCGTAATCTCTCAACCTTCCCGTGGGCCTCTTCCCTTTCATGTTAACGCTCTCGCCAGGATTAGTGTGTAGCATTTAGCGTCTTGTCACGATTACTTTTCTCCTTGATTGGTTGCAACCCTTCTTCCATCTTCTGATCAAACTAAACAAGCCATCAAATATTTCCTGCAGGAGCACAATGGATTCATCACTGTTAATGAAGGGCCACTGCGATGGTTCTACCCTCAAGCTACTCAAACTAGCACATCGACAAGAGATGTTCCCCCCATGCTTTATCTTCCCGGCATATTGGACGGCAGTGGCTGGGGATTAAATCAGCAACACGAGTCGCTAACAAGGTAACGACTAGAACTCCTTTCATTACACGCGCGAATATGCTGTTAAAGTTGCCGATCTTGCAGTGGCGTTATAAATTGAATGCAAGCATATGGGTAACTAGCAAGGGTGCATTTCTGCTGGATCACGAGTGCAGGTTGTTTAAGTTGCGGTGCCTTGAAGTCCCAATCGAAAATCGAATCTCCTTTAGGAGCTTGTTGGAAGCTGTGGAGAGCGCAGTGATCGAAGAAGCAAAATGGCGCCCACGGGGCCCTTTATACATGGTGGGCGAAGGATTTGGGGGTGCAGTTGCACTCGCGGTTGCAGCACGAAATCCTGACCTAGACCTAGTTTTGATTCTCGTAAACCCAGCGACGTCGTTTCCAGAGTCACCGCTGCAGAGCCTGCTTCCTTTGTTTTACAACTCACCTTGGGATCACGATTTCGTCGCCCCTTTGCTCCTTAACTTCATTGTAGGTAAGAATTCTTTCATCAAACTGCGACTACATGCATCACAGTATTCCAATTTTTAAAAACTTCTTTGGGTGAGAATTTTCCCAGTTTTTAGCTGTTTGCCAGATTGTAGAACATATTACTTTCTCCATCTGAAGAGTAGAGTTTCTTTAGGATGCTCTATTCACAGTAATTTGAAAGTTCATTGCAGATATTACATGATGTTTAAAATGGGATTGATGGAGCTGTTGCTTGCTTGCATGCAGGAATTAAGCCATTATCTTCTATGCCCTCCCACCAGTCTAAGCAGCCTGGTTTTCCTGTGAGTCTTCACAACCACATCAGATCAGAAACCCTTATGAGGCACTGTGTTTAATATGAATTGAATTTAGGGGTTAATGACTTCTTACTTAATGTTGCTGGTGTGTGGATTGTGTGTGTGTGGAAATAGACATCGTCGGAAGTACTTTCCAAGGAAACGCTGCTTTGGAAATTGACGATGTTGCAAAAAGCGGCTAACTATGCAAATTCCCGGCTTCATGCGGTGAATGCTCAAGTGCTAGTCTTAGCCAGGTTTGTGAAATACTTGGATCCTCACTTGAACAATGTATGGTGTTACGAGACTCCTGAGATGTGGTAGTGTGGTGTTTTCATAATGTTGTTTCTCCGCGGCTCACGATTGCTAGTGGGAAGCTTTGTATTGCAGTGGCAACGACCATTTACTGCGAACCTTCAGCGAGGCTAACAGGCTTAAGGAGCTTATAAAAGGATGCCGTACTCGAAAGTTTTCGGGTAATGGTTACAACCTTCTGCAGGTACCAAATGTTTGCATTGAAGGTCATGGATATCCTCCAAGTTCAGATTATCCGCTATATTTTTTTATGCATCTTTGTCCAATACCTCCTTGCGGATTTACCTTCTACATTAGCTTCTTGTTTTTGATGGCAACAAACTTGCCTTGATTTATCTCGTTGTGGTGTGGTTCCAGGAAAAAGGGTTTGATCTATCAACGTGGATCAAAGCCACGGGGTGCTACCGGCACTCGCATAAATGGGATCCAGTGCTCGACTATTCTATGGTCACAAAGCAAGAATTAGAAACTTACTTTGATAAGGATGTGAAGTAAGTCTTTTTCCCTCTCTTGATCATGATTTGCACGAGGTTGATTTATTACTCTGGACGAGTTTGAATTAGACATTTGTGCCGTAATTGCCTTCCTTGACACTGGGCTCATCTGCATGGATGGTTACAGATTGATGCGTCAACTGACGAGCCCTGTGTTCTTCTCTACCTCTGCCGACGGTGAGATTGTGCAAGGCTTGTCGAATATTCCTACAGACAGGCCAATTATGCTGGTAGGGTACCATATGCTTCTTGGTATGGAGGTTGGCTGTATGGTAAGCGAGTTATTACGAGAGAAGAACATTCTTGTCCGAGGCCTTGGACATCCCAGTCTTCTAAGTGGACAATATGAGGATGACCAGCAGCCCGATCCCTCTCATGGCGACCTTTTTCGCTTGTTTGGAGCGGTGCCGTCATATGGAAGAAATATGTATAAGCTCCTGAAGCATGGCTATTCTACCCTTCTTTATCCCGGAGGAACCCGGGAAGCTCTTCACCGCAAGGTTCGGTACCATAAAATGTGCCGTTTGAATTAACTAAAGTTTCTGTTTAATATTGATTGAGAATAACTAAATTTCATTGCATGAGATCAATCCTGGCTTGAATTGGGGGGTTTTGTTTGTCATACCAGGGGGAAGATTACAAGTTATTTTGGCCCGAGAATCCAGAGTTTGTGCAAATGGCAGCACGACATGGGGTCACTATAATACCCTTCGGTGCGGTCGGAGCAGATGACATGCTCAATGTGCTGATCTCCTTTCACCCTCATGTTGAATTTTGATTTCGACATCTCGATGTTGCTTACGTCCTGTGTATCAATGTGCTTGCAAAAACAAAACCAACTCATTTAGGTGTGCATCTGGGTGGCTTGATTCAACAGCTTGCACTCGACTTAAACGACCTGCGGAAATATCCGGCGTTGCTGGAGATCCTTTCACCGAGGGGCTTACCTGAGCTAAGGTACTTCAGAGCTCTCATCCTTTCCACCAGCATCATATACAACAATCTACTCTGTCTGATTAAATTTTGCACTTGCAGACAAAACTTGTCAGGAGAAATAGCAGACCAACAATTCCATCTCCCCGTTGTGCTCCCGAAAGGCATTGGTCGCTTCTACTTCTTGTTCCAGAAACCCATAGTAACTGCAGGACGGGAAGAGGAGCTCCGGGATAGGAAGAAGGTGGGTGAACTCTACAGACACGTGAAAGGCGAGGTTGAGACTGCATTACAGTATCTACAGGTGGGTAATAACACATTGTCTGAAGTCCTGGAGAACTATGAGTTGCAAATCTCTTCAATACCCATGCACATTCTAGTCTCTCTCTCTCTCTCTCTCTCTCTCTCTCTCCCTCGCTCCATCTATCTCTGTGTGTCTGAGTGTTTGACTCATTTGTGTGACTAGGAAAAAAGGAAAAGAGACCCTTTTCGACACTTAATGACCCGAGTGTTGTATGAATCACCACTTGGGCAGAACAAGCAAGCGCCCACATTCATTCCATGAGCTCAAAGCTTGCCTTGGCCGGTCATGGTGAGGCTTATGCTGCTCATCTGCACTGCTCTAATCAAATTTAGCTATAATCTTCATGTCCATGGTGAGAATTGCAACTTCCTCAGCTTCAACGTGGTCATCGTTCATAAGGATCTTGAAGCTTCAGGTGGCAGCCATGGCTGAACCTTCAAGATATATCGATGAATGTTCATGTCCTTGAAAACCAAGACGTTGGACGAGAGATGACCCAACCTTCACTGTTTGATCACCACATTTTAACTACTTTGTATGAATAATAATGATACTCCTTGTTAGTTTTCACAATTTCAATTACAAGTTTACACCAAAGTTCTTTACGTGTATAATTCATGAAGATATGTGATAAGACGATTTTCAAAAAGTAATTCGATGAAAGCTCAAAATATTACAGCTCACATGAACATCATGCAGTCAAATTTAGTTTTACATAAACATTTCAGAACTGTAGTTTTTGTAAGTTTTAAAAATAATTAAAAATGAAATGGATGTGTTCCAAGTATTATTTGTAGATTTAAATATATATACAATTCAATTTTTTTGTGTTTTAAAATTTCAAGGATGAAAGATAAGTTTTCTAGGTATTGTTTTTGTAATTTGAAAAGAATGAGGATGTTTTAGTAAACTCAATTGTAAGCTTTTTTGGATTGATCCGAACCCTTTTCAAACAACATTCAAGTTTTTTTTGTCATTCTTTCAATGTCAAAGCAAATCTTCTGTCAAAACATTGTGGTTTTAGTGTTAAAATTTCACACAATTAAATGTTAGCACATTGAATCTAGCTTTTCAATAACTTTGAATTATGGATTATTTTAAGGTTTAAAACTACAAATTTAGAATCATTTCTTCTAAGTAAATCATGTTTTGATTAATAAAATATAAATTTTCACACAATTAGAATTGAAATTTTAACTCATCAGAGTGTTGTAATAAATATAACTCCAACAATGATTTTATAATTTTAAAATATTTAAAACACAAAAATTGACTCAACTGTGCCAAATTCGCACTCTATAGCGATGCAAAGGTTTAAAATAATATTAAAAAAATCATTTTATAACATGAAAATTTAAACGGGCCTTGCACATTAAAATGCACGCACAAGCACACACACACGCACACATATGACTTGAATGAAACACTTTCTAAACTCATTTCTCGCGACATTCACCGAGTAGAACTCCAAAATTTGGTTAGGCGCCAGCATAGGTCTTGTTTGTTTTTTTCTCTACTCTGTTCATTATAAGTAATTTAAGGGTTGGTGGTGGTCATTGTTGCAGGATGTTGTCGGTGATGCCAAAGCAAACACCATGAGCCTAGCATGTGCCATGAATTAATGTGAGCTTTCTTTTCCACAATTTCTGTGCCGGTATCTGCAAAGAAAGGAGTTGCTGGTAAACGTTGCGAATGTAGCAACTCTCACGCTGCAGACGTTATGCGCATTGCAAAGATAAATATCACAGCTTGAGAAATGGGTCCAATGCAAAAACAAATAACCACCCATCCCACATTAATATCGTGAGAAGTTGCCAAAAGCACAGAAAATACATTCGAGGAGGATCTGCGGTGCTTGACACACGAAGTTTTATTGATGGTGTGGTTATGAAGCAATTTCTAACTCAAGAAGATTCAGTCCTACAACCAAGAGTACAAAACCTAATCAATCTCAGTTCTTGTTATTCGTAATTCATAACAAGCTAATGACTCCCGATGGGCCCGGGTGTGGCTCTGGGTGCTTCCAATCAACGTCTAACTCAATCGAATGCACGAGTGCGTTTGAGGAGCAAATCCGCTACAGGGTATTAGGAGGTGTAGGTTTAGGGGCAACAGAAGGCATAGAATCTACAAAAGGTGACAATGGAGCAGAATTGGGAAAAGGTATCTGAGTCGTGATCTGTGCTTTTACAGTTGCAAACTGCTGCTCTATCTCTTTGTAAATCGCGTGGTTCTTTGCAGATTTAGGCCGCAAAGTCCTCAGTGCAGAATCCAAGGTTTGCTGCACTTCGGCTGATGAAAAAGGCGTCTCTGATAGTGTCTGCATGTTCAACCCATATAGCATAACGCAATTAGAAGATGTATAATCCTCAAAGCTGAATTTGTCATGCCTTGGTATTTGAAATATACACTAAACAATAAGAATACAAATTCATGCTAGTAGGCAAATGTCAATACATGCAGTGGACTATTTCAAGGAACGAACCTGTAGCATAAACAATGTAGCAATGCATGATTTTATGAGCTCCATGGGAAACAGGCAATCCCTGCTTGCACTTGATTGGGTCGCAGCATGATTGAGATCTTGCATCAGATCCTGGGCAGCTGCCTCAAGAGCAGCTGGCCTCTGAGCAGATCCATTCTTGTCGACCGGGGACAACCTACTGGTGCTGGCCACAGTTCCAGTATCAACTTCACTGTTGTCTTCTGTGATTGAAGACGAGGAGGACTGTACACGCGAACCTGGCTGAGCACTTGGTGTAGAAACACCCTGAGATCCACCAACTTCACACGTTGGAGCAGGGTAAGGAGATAACTGGAGTGGAACTGATACGCATCCCGGGACAGAAATAGCCTCCAATGCACATCCCAATTTCTGGAAGGCATCTTCTCCTGCTTTTAGAGTATCCATGGCCTGTATTAAACAAACAAAGATTGTTTGTGAACCACGATAAGATATCTCTCCCGGAACTTGAAGGACCCAATCCAGCGAATTCAAATCCCATACACAACGCAAGTTGAGAGAGCAAGTGAGACCTACCTTCACTGCAGTAGAAACCATAAGGCTGGCCTGCTTTCTAGCCGAAATGGTCACCTCTGCAAGGGCACACGTTGTGTCTAATACCCATGGTTCACTAGGTTCTGCAACATCTGAAATTCCCTGAGAACTTAAACGATGCCAGGGAAGAACAGCATTATCATGATACTTGTTTCTTTGCCGCAAAAGAAGCAGGGCATTTGTAACCTGCTCAGCATTAACAACGACTTTAAAACAAGCCTCTCTGTCGCGGATTTAATTTGATGTACATGTCGTTTCAACGGATGTAAGTTGATGAATATAGAACTCCAATTCAACAGCACAAACTAGCAATCTAGACTTCATTTCTCAATGAAAGACCTTATCATTCCAACCAAGTAACCAACAAACGTGTCAAAAGTAGAAAAAAGGAACTTTGCAGGACCTGCTTGTTGACTTCCTTAAGCTGGAGAACGACTGTGGCATATTGGCGTTGAAAGTTATCAGCAGCCTTAAATCCTTCCCAATTGCAACTTGCCTCGCCATTCATTTGTCGTAACTCCATAACAAGAGCTTCCTGTGCACATCCGGAAAAGAGGTGTCACTTGAAAGACAAAAAGAAACAGATAAACTGTCCACTACAAGCGCGAACCACTTGGTTGTCCTGAGCAGTTCGCTGTACGAAAGCGATCACTTGATTAAAAAAAACACGGAATGAAGCTGTACTTCATACCTTTTTATCAAGTGCACGTGCAAGTTCAGCCAGTGCACGTGCATCTGCTTCTATAGCTTGTGCCTGAAAACCGCCTAGTGGTTGGTGTGAACCAACTCTTTGAGAGGCTACAGCTGACTTAGTAGTCACATCTTTTGCCTCACGCACTGCTCTGTTAGTAACTTCTTTTGCCTCTCGTACAGCATCTAGGGTATCCGTCTGCCCCACACAATATTACTGATTAGAAAAAGAATGTGAAATCGCAACACAAAAAACGTAAATCCACACTATTGACATTATGAGAACGAAAAACCGAAACCAAACCAATTATATATATGGTTGAGACTGGGTAGTCAATGATTGACAGCTGTTTGTGCCGCTTGAATTGAACAACATCCAAAATAGTTGAGTGGCTACAACCAAAGTAAGTTACATACGAATTTAGGGTGACAAATTTCAAGACATTGAATATTCATGAGGCAAGATATCTAACACTGTACATTTTCTGTCTCACCAACATAGCAAGAAACTACAATCAGCACAATCGCATACCTGCGCCCGCTTAGACAGATCGCTAAGAAAACGTTGTGATAACATGGTAACCCGACGTTCCAGGCGCTCATTCAAGGCTGCACGAGCAACACCTCCAACTCCACCCGAAGCATTCCACGCCCTTGGTTTAGAATCATCTCCGGGTGTGCGCTCTATCCCTTCCACAGATGTGAAATGCCGTCGCATCACTTCAGGCACATTCTCAAGTGGATACATTGGCATTGCATCGATATCCTGAAAGTAATACAAGGAAGTCAGACTCTAGTATCGAACTGTTCTAAAACACATTCAGAGCTATAGTATTCAAAGATGTTAAAAGGATCTCAAATGAAGTAGAAACTTTCTAACGAAGCACGCTACATGAAATCATTTCAGGCTTCAAACTGAATAAGATAATTAAACTTAACCTCAAAAGCTGACGATGGTTATGAAAATATGCGCAAACTAGTAGCATTTAGAGTACAGCTCACTTACTTTCAGCCAATTTAATTGTGACCTCCAGTAAATAGATGTAACTAGTTATGTACTTTCTCTTCGAATAACAGAGTAGAGTTGACAGGTTCCTACATGATGCTAGCGTTGAATAACTTACCATAACCAGCTCCACACCTAGTTCAGGTCGATCAAACTGTACTCGACAGCGAGAACGATCAACCGTAAGGATGCTTCCATCGTGTATTTCACGCGTCTTTGGGTGTCGAGCAATCACTTTTTGCCCAACCGTCAAGGGACGCGCTAAATCTGCAGGTAACCCTTCTCTAAGTCCATTTCGAAGTTCATGATAATGTGTGCGTACTGACTCACGATAAGTTTCCAACTTCTCCCTCTCTTCTTGAAGAAATCGCTTGGAGAGTCTTCTGGGTTTCCCGAGAGAACTGCATACAGAGGATGATAAAAAAAAAAAAAAAAAAAAAAAAAAAAAAACTAATTAAGCCTTATTTTCATGATAAGAAGCTTCAGTAGACATCATCACCTTGTGATTTCAATTGGTTTTGATATGAACAAAGGGTAACTTACCCTCGTATAACGCCCCACTCGACGCGAGTGAGCCTTGGGACATGGCCAAGGCCAGCATGATTCAGATACTCAACAAATTCATTGCGTGCGAACCAAGGAAGGTCAATAGCACTGTAGAACCATTCACACATACACCATCGCCGAACCTTGGGACATAGGCAATGAATGATTTTGGCCTGCATGAAGTCAAGCACAGCAAGGAACCTTAAACATCAATTAAAAGTTGCAAGTATGTCATGCAGAAAGTAGTAAAAAGGCAACATCATAGGCTAAGTCCACATGTTGAGTGTGCTTACCTTGGCACTATCTGTTCCGAGTTCAGGGGTTGTGTGCGGACAGAAAGCTTGTTCTTTTCTCACAGATTCCTGATGTGGGGAATTAAACCCACTGTTTGACTTGACCGGAGCACTAGTTTTTTCCGTAGGCAATTTCTCCGGTACTCCTTTCTTCTTACTCCGAAGTTTCAGAGGGAGAGAACTTTCATCAATGTCTATAGAAAGATCTTCTCTTCCCTCCATAGAGATCTGCTTACCATGACCAGGAGAATCCGCACCATCTGCAACTCCACTTTCTGACCACCTTTTCAGGAGCTTATGCCCCTGTTTTGAAGACAGTAACTTGGTTCCTGCTAGCTTCTTTAGTTTGGTCCATGGATTCGGCGATGCTGAAGCTTCTCCTTCAGGGACTGAAGCCACAACCTGCAAGCCAAGCATAAACAATGCATACCCTCTTAAACGCCACATCTTAATTTTAAGCACACGCTGACGATCCAAGTCTTAATCCCTGCTCCTGGAATGTACAGTTCGAAGGACAAATCTACGAAATCAAGATCCATCAATATGTTCACCAGAATGTTGAAAACTTAATGATGTTAAAAAGCTTTACTTTGGAAATCTTGTCACCAGAATGCTTTCTTTTCCGCTTTCTGGAATCTGCCGGTGAAGTAGATGGTTGTCTATCTTCGGAAGCTGCTCCCTCTTCTTCTGTGTTTAAATCTCCTTCCTCTTCCTTACTACCATTGTGTAAATCTTGCATATCCTCAGCTTGTGAGGACTTCAAATCGTGCTTTGAGTTAGCAACCTCTGGGCTAGATTGCTTCCCACCCTTGATTTCCACCTTCTCAGTTTTGTCTTCAAAACTGGCTGCGGCATCTGAAGAGTAGTTTCTTTCATGAATATGAACTACCAAGTGCCTTTAAAACAAGACAAATTGGAGCAGAATCTGGCGGAATCGGCAGATGGGCAGAAAACCTTCCAGTGCCACGCTTTCAAGCAAAAAATGCCGACCCAAACTCAGGGTAAGCAAAACAAATTTGTGACGGTAAGACATAATACTAAGTATTCACGCCACAGCATCTTGTGAAATGTGTATATTTCCCTTTACACAACCAAGATATGCTAGCTTATGGAAGAAAGAAAGTTACTTACTGGCAACAACATTCAAATTCTCACCAAGTTCCAGACCTTCCAGCTCCAATGACGAAGCCGCTAAAGTCGCTAAAGCATCCAGCCCGCTGTTGCTATCTGCCATGAGTTCGAATTTACATTAGGTTTCAATTTTTCAACAGCTTAAACCCGTAAAAGCACTCTACTTGAGTAAACATACTGAAATCTTTGTTATGTTTGTGTTGCAGCATGCTGCTAATATGAATATGAAAACGAATATGAGAACGAAAAAACTGGACTATCCTTCGGCAGCACATATGTATATACCTCCTGAGAAAAGCTGTCGACTTCTCTTCTTCTGCTTAGGAGGAGGTGAGACAGGACGCCGCCTCCTCTGAGCAGAAGATGGTTGACTAGACCCCTCTGCTGGCTCATCAGCGCCGCTCCCTTGCCTTTCAGATGCTTCCACCAATTCCTTGACGTCTTCTTTCCTCTTCTCTCTCGACTTGGAAGTTTGATGCTTACTATCCGAATTCTGGAACTTAGTCTTCTTAGAGAAAGGTTTTTTCAGTTTACTCTTGGCATCTCCAACTGTCGGAGTTTTCCTGTCCGCGTCAGACCTCAGAGTGCTGCTGCTTGCTTTGGTAGCACCCTCGTTCTGCAAGTCTTTGCTTTCAGGGCTTCCCTCCAGCTGATTATCTGCTTGGCTTGTTGAAGCGGTGGGCTTGACAGAAGCATCAGACTCTGTCCTCCACAGTGACTCCTGAAGAAAAAAATTGAATGTTTAATCCAGGGAGTTGGTAAATTAAAATATATTGAACAAAAGACTGTCCGATCAATTTCATAAATAAACCCTAAACCCTAGAGAAAACAAAATAAACACTAGAGAATACAAAATAAAAAGTTGAGGTCGTTGCAAAATTCATAAACCAGACTAAATTCTGACACTGTGACAAATAGCAAATCAAAGGTACCTTATCACCATTCTGTTGAAATGAGGTTTGTCGAAGGCTCCTCCTTGAAGGAGTATTTGATGCCGTTGGTGAAGCCGACTGCTTTGACACCAGGGTCCGGGCAGCTGCTACATCAGAGTCAGAATCCTCTTCGACCCTGTTTTGAAGCTTGGAGACAGAAGCTTTGATGATTCTTATTCTTCTCTCAGACGCGTTACTCGTTTGAAAGCGAGGAGTACGTTTGCCAACTGGTCGATTACGATATGCTGTATGAACACGATTGTACATAAATTGGCCAAATTAATTTGACAAATTCCAAGAAACCACTGAATGCGATAAGTATTACGTTAATTAATCTCAACAGGAGGCAGTAAGTTAAACCGTTTCGTACTGAAAGGTCTCTGGGACCAAAACTGCCTGAAACAGTACTTTGATTTCAATCTCTACGGTGAAATATTATCTAGTTTTTTTATGTTATACAAATCACTAAAAATAGTGAACTCAACCGTACTGGATACTTTCCAAATCTGAAAACATAAATGAAAAATAGTTCTTAAAACCGAACTGCATTGAAAATTTTAAAACATCTGCTATCTAACATATTATTAAGTCGTAACAGCTAACAATAGATTTTTAGTAATGAATGTAATGGGTGAAATTTGAGATTTTTTTAAAAGGATTCTTCATGAAAATATTTTTGTGGTCTTAGATTGAACATGTACGACTATGCTTTGTACAATATATTCAAATCGTGTCTCTAATCATATTATTCTTAAATGTAAAAAAACAGGCGACACCAACTGAGCCAGCAAGCACAGCGGTGAACAACTTGACGAGGGACTCTGTTATGTATTCGATTACAAATTCGTAGTTCAATATCAGACGAAGCAGTTCTAATTCCATTTATGCATGGATTATACTGCTAAAAGGTTGAAGCTTACTTCTTGGTCTTTTAGCGGGTGAAGAACCTCCAAAACCACTAGCTCCTACAATGCCATCTGAACGAATGCTGCTGCTTTCCATTCCTATGTTGGTAACTTTTTTCTTCGAGAGCTGCACATGATTTGACCTCTCGTCTGAACCAACACAATCATCACTACTTTCTGCACCTGCACTCGGGTTTTCGACCTGTACCAATTCTTGCATCAGTACTGTATGATCCTAATGTTTTGATACATACAAGCTCCAATTTGCGTATAGGTTCTCAGCATTAATGCAAGCGCTGGGATGTTTCAGCATGTAGATATATTTCCCAGGGATGAGGCACTTATTGACCTGTTGTGAGAAAGTTGTTTTGAAAAAGAAAAGAAAAGAAAGAAAAAAAAAAACAAAAACAAAAACAAAACGGGGGAGAAAAAATTTGTTTCACCTTTGAACATATGAATCAAGCATGAATATGATTCAACAACGCAAATAATCATTCAGCAAAAGATAAGCGTTACACACCAGGAGATTATAATGGTCTGTCATCATAGCTTTAAGTCCAGTAGCAGATGCAGCTCCATCTGGGAGAGACAAATATGCCTGAAGAGCACAAAACATGTTAGTCACCTCACCCAAATTGTTAATGACAAAAACAACCCCACAACAAAAGAGCGTCCTACATCGGCTATTCCTGGACAAATGTACCTTGTTTGTGGTGTATAAAGCCTCCACCATTTCTGTCGTTCTTTTGTGTAAGCTCGCAGACACCTGAAATCGTCAAGTTTGTGACTCAGAATACAACAACAACATCAAATAATGAGGATTATGGTAATAATGTCGATTAATCCACTACATATCTTCATTCGCAGTCTACAATATTTCTAGTATAACAGACGAATTGTCTGTTTAACATAACTAACACAAAGTAGTTAATAATTCTGCATGGAATCATATCAACTTAGGTACACAATATTTACTGATAGTTGGCACGTAAACAGAAGAAAACATAAGCATAAAGCAGAAAAGATATAGAAAAATGCGTTGAATTTGTGAAACCCAACTTACAAACACTTCAGAAATCTCACTTTTAAGTTAAACCAGGTTTCATTATAATGAGCAAAAATGCATGACAAACGATTTAACTACACTTCAATGCGTCCGTGGCATTTTACTCCGCAACTTCTGTGAGCATTATACAACATACAGAATTGATCGGTACCTTCTTCCAGTCCTTGCCATACTTGCGAAAGGCTTGGTAGAACAACTCAAGATCTTCTTCACTCCAAGGAGGTCCAAGAATATCTGTCAGTTTTCGCTTCTGCATCGCAAACCACAACACACCTTAATGCTTTACCCCATAGCCTCGGGTCCCCAAAAATCCAGGCACACCTCAAAAAAAAAAAAAAAAAAAAAAAAAAAAGGGATCCAGCAAGATTAATCTGTCTACATAGTTCAGCTTTGTTGCCAAACAGAGACCCGCTACAACCCAAATGTTGCACAAAGAGTATCACAGTTACATGACAGCTATTCGATTGACAGCAACCAACCATCACATTGTCCACCCTTGCAGGGAATGTGAAAGCTCTGTTTCCTTACCCTAAATTTACTTTTTCCAATTCCATCTTCGTCCCTATCTACACCACCTGCAATCCTTGTGGTAGGTTTTGAGGTTGTTCTTGGCCGCCTGGCCGATGCCATTTGGGTGTCTCCTAATTTCCTTATCCTTCCAACTCACAAGCATTGGATGCACACAGCCCCAACAATATTTTCGAATGGAAGCATTGGAAGTGACTTAAGGAGGAGATCGCGTCCGTTTCGGTTTCTGTAGATAGCCAATTACATCCGCAAAGACACTATCGTATATAGGAAATGCACTGCCTTTAATGCAATTAAATAAGCACTGAGCCCAAATTCATAGTTGTTACTGACCCTGACTTATCCTCAGCATCCTGATCCATCAAACAACATATTACTCCTGTTAGTCCGGCCATCACCAGCGAAGTCGTTACAAAGCATTCTACAATTCAATACTGTAAGATAAAAATTTGAAATGTCACTGAGAAATTCTTAAAATCGTCAGCTCCACCGAACCTAGGGAACTACACTTCTGCTAATTATGAAAACGACAGGCAATGGCAAAAACACGTAATTCCAAGCAAACTAAATCAATAGTACAAGAAACAGCTTTCGACAGGCATTTAATTAGACTAGAAAGAACATCATTCACAAACTATCAATCGCGTACTGATCAATAAAGAAATGAACAATCACCTTAAGATGTTCGCAAAAATCTTCAGTCTAAATTTAGATTATTTTAATTTTTAGATGAAAAGAAAAGGAAGTACTTCAGATGGCAGAAAGTGAACTCAAACTTGGTTTCGAACCACAACTGAAAATGAAATTCGAGTCGAACGCTTTAGAAGAGGAAGAAATCCGCTAGCAAATAATAGCACGAGTGTCGGCGGTTGCAAGAATGAAACAATTAAAACCAAAAATCGCGTGGCTGCATTGAGTCGACAAAACCGACGAGAATCGATGAACTCATGGCAACAATCTATGAGATGAAGACAATTATTGCATTACTTCCTAACAACTGGGGAAGGGTAAGCGCTAAGGTTTACTCGCGACACAGCGTCAGGCATCACTTGCAAGTGAGCCTTACAGTCAGCAAAACGGTTGATGCTGCCTTAATTGTCTTGGCACATGGTGAAGCAAGGCAAAATATGTTACAGATGAAGTCAGAGAGTCACCTTCATCCTGTAAACTCTTACAACTCGTGCTTCGCACTGGAAGTTGAGAAGCCAAGGAAAGAGCATTGGAAAAGGTTTGGAAACGTCCACATCCGACCACGTTTCGTCGCCGGAGTTAAATCAAAAGCAATCCGAGACTGACAAGGCCAGCCTCAGCGCACTAAGAAAAATCAGAAAGACTGCAGAGAGAAAAATGCATCCATATTCTCAAAAATCTCTTTCTTCTCCAAAAATCATCAACCAAAGCCAATACAAACTCGAAGCGATAAACTCAAGCGTCATCCTGTACTATTCTGCGCTACGCTTCCACACCCCAAGGCTCTGAGCGCCCGCCAGGAAAAGCCACCAAACTACTGCCCATAGTAACATCTACCAAATTGCGCTTGCTTCTCGGAAGGAGGCCACAGCTGAACCAGAATTTCGCTTGCTTCTTCGTGCGTCACCTAACACTACAAGCTTCAAATGACTACAAATCACTCTACACTGACGTAACCAAATTTCTCTCCCTCTCTCTCACTCTCTCTCTCTCTCTCTCTCCCTCCCTCTCCCTCCCTCTCTCTCGCTCTCTCTCTCTCCCTCCCTCTCCCTCCCTCTCAACCAACTAACCCCGCCGGAAAGAACGACCAACACTCAATCAACCTTCACCACCTCAATCAAACAATCAACCTCCATTTTGTTCAACCCTGCTCTCAAGAACTAAAAACTGGCGTTCTCCTGCAGCTGCCGTGCAATTCCAGCCAACGGCAACGAAACAATCACCACAAATCCACGAAACACTCCCACAATAGATTATAAAAAAAAACCTTAACAAATTACCCCTCCTGGACACAATACAGAGCCAAAACGACCCCAGTCAAGCTCAAAAGAGGCTGGGGGAGGGCTCCAGTACCGCAGGTACCGATCTAGATCGCCCCATCGCAAGCAGCAGAGAGAAAATGCGCGTTCCGTATGTGATCGCAGAGCTCCTCGCACGCTCGACGACGACCCAGCTTCGTGCTTCGCTTCCACTCCCAATTTTTCAAAAGACCTAGCACTAGTAACCCCAAGCAGCGAGCGACCAATGGACTGCAGAGTGAACACCTCACTGGAGACCGGTCGGTGGAGTATTTTAGAGAGAAACAGCAATGACCACCGGTCGGGGCGATCATCATCCCCCTCGCGATGCAATTTTTGAAATTTGGGGTGGACTGGCCAATCGGGGCTTTAGACACTGGAAGTCTTTTTCTGACCCTTCTTCTTTCGGCGCCGTGGAAGACCCTTCTTTATCTTACTGCATCTTTTCAGTTCCGTCTTTTACGTCTTTTTCTTTTCCGTCTTTTCCTTTTAGGTGGTGCTTCTGGAACAGTAGTTCGAAGTGAAACAATATTTTCGGTATAATTATACGTAGAACATAAGTGATTCGCCTACCTCCTTGCTTGTCTGTTGTTTCTCGTCTTTCGACTTTTTTTTCATTGAGGGAAAAAGGAAAAGCTTGGCGTTGAATTCAATGCTGGTGGAGTCAAGGTTTCCTGGTTTGAAAATCCAAAATAGCATTTCCTCCAACAATTTTGAATCATAATTAAATTACAAAGTAAGTATGTGTACGGCTGTGCTGTTAGTCTACAATTATTTTTATTGATTTACCAAAAGATGTGAATTTATCCTTCAAAGTGTTCAACCAGAATTTTTTTAGTGTGAGGGAGAAGCAATTCTTATTGATAGCTATATTTAGGTAGTTGATATTTTTGGAGTATTATGTTTAAATTATTTGATGTTATTTACTTTATCAAACGATACCAAAAATGGTGTTTGAAGTGTTAAATTTAATAATATTTTACGACAAACAAACTACGTGAAAGTTTGGTGATTTATTCAGCTTTAGTTCACAAAAAACTTTAGAGATTCCCAATTAAATAGTATAGAATTCTTACCAATACAAAAAATAGGAATAATCGATGGATATGTTAGTTTCAAAATTATACAAGTGTAAGTAGTTGTTTTTACACAGAAAGACTGTATTGCACTAAATGTCTTTACAAGGACAGTAATTTCATCCATGCACATACAGTTTTTATTTGTTTGTTTTTATGAAGTCACCCGGCATGAAAGTTTAGATTAAAACCAAACTAATATAAACTTTAAAGTAACACCTTCAGAATCATTAGTCTACTGTTATCAAGCTAATCGTAGGTTTTTGCATACCATACAAATACATTTACGAGTACCGAATACTACACCCGGAAGATATCCATCTACGTACCCGGTTGTACATAGGCTAATTAATACCCGGTCAGTCGACGAGTATTGTGGGTTTCCTCCATGAGGAAACACTTGCACGTTGTTGTGCAAACTCTCGAAGCTCACTTTTGCTGACTAGCGGACGCATTGCGCCTGTTCTTCCTCACCCTTCGCCGAGCCCTTACCTGGTCGATCAGTTGGCAGCTATGGCGGTTGGACTTGTAAGTGTTTCTATACAAGTTTCTTCTCTTGAAATGGTTGTCGTGGGAGTTTACGCGGCTTTACCGAATACTCCTTTGTATGAGCGTTTTGGAACAATGGAAATTGATGGTTTTCAGATTGGTTTTTGGAAGTCGATGACTATATTCGTTGTTTGGTTGACTTGATTTTCTTCTATATCTTTCCTCTCTTCGAGTGGCCGGGTTGAAGCGATTTATTATTGTCGGTATAATCTTGGATTAGGGTTGATCCGGATGTTAGGGTGTGCGAGTTTTAGCCTTGTGATCGGGAGCAGGGATCAGCTCTGATCTTGAAATGGAGTATTCCTAGGATCAAACGAAGCTCGCTGTATGTCTTTGAAGTAGCTCTGAATTACCACCTATTAGAAGTTTCCTACTTGCGAAAAGTACTTGCATTGCCTTTGTTTTTATTTTTATTCTTATTATCAATGCGCGGTACAATTAGGTGTGCATGTGTTATAATTTTTTTGTGTCAGAGCTGCATCAAAGTTTGCTTTCTATGTTTCTGTACGTGGGACAGTTGAATGAGTTAGTAATCTTTCAGCGTGGGTGTGCAGGGAGAGATTGGAATTCCCATCTACAGCCCAGTTTCTGAGTCCTTATATCCACTTTTGGCTGTGCTTCTGCTCACGATCGGGCTTTTATTGACGGCGTCTTTTTTCATGTATGAGATTTTTGCCTGAGTTTTGAGTCTGTTGTTTTATTGCTTTAATGATTCTATGTAAATGTTACATCTAGGTTCCTATTGTTGGCAAACCCATACCTTCTTGTGCCACATTCGAGCCCATCGGTGATTGCGGCACTTTCCTTCACTATTATTCCTGTTTACCGAATTTATCAAGTAAGTATATGTATGAAAGTGCTGGAGGACTGGGCAAGCACTGAACTTGTGTCAGAGCGTATGCAATTATGTTAGAAGGTGAATGACTCAACAACTTATGGATTTTTCTGAGCAGCTATGAGGTGACTTCGACCAAATTAAGTCGAAGCCTGGTTCATGAGTTCGCTACCGGTGGATTAGCATCCGTCTTCTTGGTACGTAAACCCATGCCCAAATTTCACTTTGGTAGTTCTGGCACGTCTTCCACAGTTTCCAATTTCGAGAATCTCATGTGTTCTGTTATGGTTTATGTTGAGTGTGGAGAATTTGTACCACCTTCAAAAATGGTCGACAATTTCCGAATCATCGTGTCATGACTGCAGTATAATCGTAGCTACCCGTCTCTGGCTTGGCTATTTATACTCATGTGTCGCGTTTCAATAATCAACTAGGTTGTTCTTTTTATGCTCCAGTTCATGTAGGGAAAGTTCACTTTCTTGCTAACTTAATCTTCGTGTCGATGCTATTGCAGGGTTTTGGGACCCTCTTCCTGCTTCTATGGACGGGAGTGTATGTGTAAGCATACAATATTTTGTAATGATGTTCGTAGGATTTTAGAAGCGAGTTTAGTACAAACAGGAAGACGGGTGTCCTTTACGATATCCCAAATGTTGAACTCGCTTTTTCCAGATAGATTTCACGTCACAAGGTGGGACTCTGTTTATTAATTCAGGAGCATGCAGCATGTGAGGGGACTTGAAACTCTTGTGTACAAGGCAGTAAAGTATTAACGTTGTCTGTACCAATATCTATGTTCACCATTTTCTATCTCCCTCAACTCATGTCCTTCTCGCATTCTGCAGCATGCTAGATCAATTTCTTCTAAGCCCATGTTAGTCGTTTCAATATCATAGAAAGCAACGAGATCAATACTCGTGTACATTTGTGTGTATAGGTTCTATAACCATGTTTAGTCCATTTATCACCATACCTTTGTGCTGCTTGTTTTTCATTCACAAAGCTCTTCACATTCACTAGGAGTGGGTTTTCCACTTCATTGGAGGTCCAAGGTACTTTCACTTAAAGTTTGGTGATTCCCCTTGGGCTAGACCAGTTGCCATCGAGCTCGAACTGGGAAAATTACGTGTGGTTCTGAGGGTAATATACTGACAACTTATTTGCAAAAGATAACCATGGAGTGTGGATGATATTGCCTAGAATGATTCTAGGAAGATGTGTATGATGACGAATGATGGCGCAGTGAACGAAACAATGATCGATTACAGTGTAGCTCATTGCAAGGTTCTCTGTTGTTTGTAATTTGGAAGGATGTACAGCCATGTGGCTCTATGCCTACCCGATAATTATTGGATGCATTCTCAGTTTTTACTGTTACTTAAGATAGGCAGTTTCCCCTTTTCTGCGGAGGTCTTTTACTGCAGCTCGATTCGAGGTCTTATTGGGCTTAGAATCAATTGCCTCAGAGATGTAAGCCCCAAATCGCAATGTTCTTTTCCCCAGCTTTCTTACATTCACTTTCTTAAAATGTTTGAGAAGACGGTTTGCCCTTTTCGCCATCTTTTGTTGAAATGCTTCATTATTCGTTCTTGTTAGTGTTTCGGGAAGTACCACACAAGCCGTCATGCTTTTATTACATACGTGAGCTTTCAAGCATTGGTTGTCAAAATCAACCGACTTATTTGCTCCCTGTTGCTTGTCAGTACCTTGAGTTGAACCCTGTAAATACAAGTTATTGTGCTTGTCCTTTTACTCAATAATCGATTGCTATTCGTACTCTTAGCCCTGAGATTTGACACCAGGTCGTTAACCATCTTGTGGTTTACGCCCTCTAAGGACAAATTGACGAGCAACGGGATGTACACTGTAACCTCTGGCATTGAATGTTCTCAATCAGGCCTTACATTAGAGGTTGAATTCCCTGCTAAGACTTTCAATCCATGAGGAAGACTGGAAGGTTATACTATGCAGTCGAGCTTCATCTTCCATGCGCCGCCTCCGTTTCATCCGAAGTTCCTGTTTCTTTCTCTGAAGTTCGCGGTTCACCTCTTGCAAGCTCACTTCAATATATTGCAAAGATTTTTCTTTTTCCTCTATTTTGTTATCTCACCGACACCACCATTAAATCTCGGATCAATCTCATCGCATGTTCCCATTGAGTATCCCTGTAGCATCGATTCCAATTTTTTCTTAATTCCTATGGGTGATGCTGATCTCAATTGCTGAAGTCGCTCAAGAAGAGCTGAATGGGAGGAAGTAGAACCCTCACTGGTGGTTGCACCTTGATCAAGGTGTCTCTTGAATGGCGGAGGACTGCCCGATATCCCTGGTTGAAAATCCGTCATGGGAAGTTTACGCGCTCCAACAGATGCATATGGATGGAAGGGCCTATTGATCGAAGAGGGAATATTGTTCATGGGCCTGCTCCCATCCAGAGGGGAAGCCTGGGTCCTCGAACTAAGGCCTTTGTTCTCCACACAGCTTTCAGATGTCAAAACTCCAGAGCTTGGGCCACCAGACTCGGGAGTGAGACGCAAAGGCAACGTACCTCTGTCGAAGGGCATCACGCCTAACTTCGAACGTTGCAAAGAGCTTAGCTGTGTCCAAGAAAGTGATGTCGAGCCGTTACCACTGTAGTGATCATTCTCACTCGCAAACCTGTCTATGGTCGTGATGTGGTTTCTGAGGTTGCTAGTAATTCTCTGACCTGGTGAGTTATAAAGTATTAATGCAGGATGTCCTTGCCTTTCAATTCCTTGGTTCTGCCCCTGGGTATTGGGAGACAGATAGTGCATGCTGGTGACGGAACTTGATCGGGACGAGTTCTGAAGTTGTTGGATTCTTCCTGGAGTGGTGGTTGCCTCATTGTCACTACTTGATGCTGGGGAGGTTGATTTTGGTGACTGTATTCAAGGTTTCCAGTAGTTCGAAGCATGGAGGATGGTGAAACAACAGCAGAACTTCCTTCATTGTTGCCGTTTAATGAAGGACCCATGGACATGGATGTCACTTGTGTCCTCTTCCGTGAGATGCTTCGAATAGGTTTTGAGTAGCAAGGTTGGCAGACTAGGCTTGCATCTTGGGGTGCTTGTGGGATGAAGCAGATGCAAAACAACCTGTTGTCGCATTTTGAGGAAAGGAGAGAGATGGCCAGCTTGAAGGAAGCACGTCCGGAGATCATACACGTGGGCCTGTCGTGAGCTGGAAACTCAACCCCTTTGAACGTCGTGAACAGTGGTGGCTCTGCCAGAAACGGCTTGTCATCACGGACCACTGGGCTGTGGTCATAAGCTTAAGCCACTGAAGCGACGATGCTCATGTCGCGAGACACCAAACTTCCTTGCTCATCCAAAAGGTGGACGTTCAATACAAACGTCCTCCGACAGAATGCCTTTCCTCCTAGTACAGTTAGGACTTCAGGGCTTTTCCCAATTCCTCTTGCTTCAAAAGCCACAGATGTCACAAGCCTGTGCATCTCATTGGTTGAGATCGTGCCGTAGGCACTGGTACCGCCAATGCCTGAACCCTAGAGTGTCACCAAAGCCAATTAATCACCCTGTAGATCTGACCTCCGTGTCGAGCAGTTTCAGAACATACAACAACCCTATTGATGTCTTGTGCTTGTTTTAGACTCTGAGGACAACACCTTGATCCTTTTAACTTATGAAGCTGATAGCTCGCACATCTGGAAGTCCTGTGTGATACCGTCTCATGTTGCGTGATGGTCAACAGGCTCCAATCGGCTGTGCTTTCCCAGGCAACTCATTCCCTCGCAACAATTAATTGCATTTTTTTAATGTGAAGTGTGTCAGCCTGTACTTCAGCACAATTTGCGAGCCTTCGCATACACATGGAGACGCAAAGTTCTGTGTTGAAGAACTCTGATTCGCGACAAAAGTGTCCTGACCCCACTTCTGATCCAGGCTGGGTTATGCATCTGTCAGACTAAACCCATGGGGGTTCGGATACATTATCACCAGTTGTTTTTCTTCTCTAATTACGTGTTTATTCGTCTTTTCACGGATTCAGGATAATTCATTTAGGAGACGGTTTGTTCATATGATAGTGATCTCAAGGAAACATTAAACCTGTTTCAGATGTAGGTTTATCTTTTTCTACCCACTGTCTATTTGGATCAAGACAGTTCAGTCTCATGCATTTGCCTGCAACTTACAAGCACCACGCGTGGGATGGAACAGAATTGGTTGGACTGGTGTCTTGTGAAGCTTTTAAAGAAAAATGCACATCAATCTTCTCCAAATATTCAATCTGTTCTTGATCGAGAAGGTGGAGGATTTATCGAACGAGAAGCTTAAACAGAAGTTACGCAGAAATTGGTGCAAAAGATTATCTCAGTCAAGCTGGATACTTTTAGAGTTGCATTTTTACAGATATTCCCTCTGACGACAGTGTTGATAAGCAGTTTTTGAAAGTCGATCTGGTATGAAAAAACAATGTCCTGTGTTTGGTTGTCTACTTTTCTATCAGCTGTGGTGCATCATGAACTGATTCAGGCTTGACAAACGAGAGTGCCAGGGTGAGTTTCTCCCATCCATTGTTCACAAGGATGGAGGTAAAATGGGACCAGACCTCATAAATACACCTAAACTAGGAAGAATCAACAACTCTAACCAGACTGCCACAGAGGGAAGAGACAACCTAAATAACGCTGCGCAGACTCCGAAGATTGTCGAGTGTGACTCTGATCTCTCTCGCTTTCTCTCACTCTCTCGTCCTCCTCAACGGACACTCGACATACGAAGATGGAAGAAATTTTCAGCCGCAAGCCTCACACACGCAACTCCGAACTTCTCTCGGCTGGACCCACATCAATCAGCATAGTATGCTGCAGCGAAGGTTAATTTCAGTCTGTGTGACGGTAAAATTTCGTCCGGCAGCTTTGTTGGACCTCGCTTCCACCTGTGGTGAGCCAGCTGAAGTGGAAGCTAGTCATTGGAGGCTTCAGCCTTACGGCTTGTGAGGTGTGACAAATCTGCGCTTCACGAATCTGAAACTTGACTCTGCATTCTGAGTTCTACGTTCCAGGAGTAGCGAAAGCGGACACCACAAATTATTCTTGATCCGAACCCATATTACCCAGAATTACTCGACCTGGATGGGGTCTGTGTCTGAGTTTTATGGTCACCGTGAGATTCTTCCTGGAGCATACTATATCAATAATTTGTGTGGTTTTGAGCTGCTCTTAATGAGTTTGCTCCCAGTTATGAACTACTCACATCATTCTCTTCTGTGAAGAAAGCATGGGGTGTAATATGAGAGGGCGAATGTGCGATGAGAGAAGCGATATAGAACTCTTAAATACTTCTACCTCGGACATTCACGTGTAATTCACTGTCCCCAACCGGTACGTATGGTTGAATAAGCACTCAGTTGGGTCATAATCGATTACTGTTCGGTGGCGGTGTAATGCGCCCTGGGATGAAAACTGCATCAAATGTACGATACTGAATCTCTGTTCTACTGAACTGCTAACTTGGTGATCTCGAAGGATCTGCGTGCATGTTGCAGTGGCTATTGCGCAAGCTGCCTTTACTTGCGTCGGAGACGAGGTGGTGGTCCAACCAGCTAGGTTACAAGCAATTGATCCCGGAACAGTTGTGGTGTTGGCTTCATCATTCCTGGGGTTGCAACCGTGCTTGCCAACTGTGTGCATTTTACTCCTGCCTTCGCAACCGAGGTAATTTCATTTTAAGCTGTTCATCTTTTAGCCTCTTTCACACCACTGTCATTTAGGGGAATGTGTAGGAGTGGAGGTTCACACCTTTGGAGCAGGGTAGAA